TCTTCGACTGCAGGGTGAAGAGCAGCACCTCCAGGTTGCCCTTCTCCACGAACTTGGGCGGCTTCTCGATCGTCCTGTAGTTGGAGAACTGGGCCAGCTGGCCCTGGACTCCGGCCAGGGAGTTCTCGAACTCGCGCTCGCCCAAAGACTGAATGGTGGTCTCGATCCACTTGAGCAGGTCGCTGGTGAAGTGCTCGTAGTCCTGGATCATCTTGTCGTTCTCCATGGCGATGCCGACCACCTTGCCGATCCTCTTGCCCTGGACCGTCTCCTGCTTGAGCTTGCTGAAGTAGTGGTAGTAGGTGACCACGTAGGTGATGATTGACTTCTCGTCGGGGTGCTCCACGAAGACGTCCTCGGCATCGAGCAGCTTGGCCAGGCCCAGCTTGTCCTCGGCCACGTCGAAGGCGTTGTTCAGGTTGTGGATGGCGTTCGTCTTCGACAGCTTCTCGAACTGGACCAGGTCCGGACGGTGTTTGTGGATGATGGCGTTGAAGGCCAGGCCGTCGCGCCACGAGGTGGTGAAGTTGCGCACGTTCACGTTTTGGTAGCCGGCGGTCTTCATCTGGCACCACAGCAGCAGGGCGTCCTTGGCCGACTTGGTCTCCTTGTTGTCGACCTCCTCGATGGTGATGTCCTGGATCTGGAAGCGCAGGATGATGGTCCAAATCAGGCCCAGATTGAGGGAAGCATTGCCGTCGACGATGTCGTGGGAGCCGATATTCTCCAGATGGACGCGCTGCTCCCTCAGAAACTGCAGCGCCTTGTCCACATTCTCCAGGCAGTGGATCCTCATCTTTCCCTTGGTGGGCTTCGGCAGCCTCTCGCCGGAGAGCACCTCCAGCAGCTTAATTAGATGCTTGCCATCCCGCATATCCACATAGAGATCGGCGATCCGGCAGTTCACCCGGCACAGGTGCGAGTTCACCCACTTGGTGAAGGTCTTTTTCTGGACGCTCTCACGCTCCTCGGCCAGGGCCTTGATCCTGGAGCGTTCGAACAGCCGGGAGCTGGAATTGCCCCCGTCGTACTCGTACTCATCGATGTACTCGTTACCGGGACCCTGGCTGGGATCCCAGCGAACAATCGAGATGTCCGTCGTCATGGTTTGGTTCTGATGATAGCTTCTACAGTTTCCACAGTGCTTTCGTTTGTGGCTTCGGGTGTATCCTAGTGTTTTGTTCTAGTGTTCTAGTATATAGAATGAGGTATCTATATTCGTGTCCTTCGGAGCTCGCCTCTCCGCCTCTCTCTCTCTCGTTTCGTTCGGGTTCGTATTGCTTCTTTCCTGCGTGTTCAGTGTATCCCTTGAGTCCAAACCGAATGTGTTGCCTTTAGAAGAGAATCACTGAAAAGCGGTGGGAAAAAATCGGTTAGATAATTAGGCGAATGATTCACTTTGCGAGTGGGGGACTGTGCCTGGAGGGGATGGCGTCACCACTGACTCTGCCCTGTCCCCGGTCCGATCACAATTGTGGCTTACTTAAACCGATTACATCACGCCCAACAGCCGCTAATAAACAAAGCCCCCAGACCGGGGGGGAGGTTGCTCTTTTTGTGCCATTTTTTTTTGTCCTCCACTTCCCCCCAGAGCGACAAATCCGTGAAATTGCAGGAAGTTCAATTCACAAAAACCATCGACACAAAAAAAAACCGGCATATTAAATAGCCGACACTGTACTACGATGACTGTAGCGGTCATATCACTAGTATTAGTTCATTGAAGTGGGTGGAACTATAGTAGAAGAGAGTTGAGTGGCTCCTCCCCCCACTGGATCTTGTTATGAAAGATCTCAGTTACTGGAAGGCAACTATCTATTCCCCTTGGAGGGAGCTCCTTCCTTTGTTTAACCTATTTTTATGGCCGCACTTGTAACCAGCCCCACGGAGATAGCTGCCTCTTTTATGGGCTTGTTTTTTCTTCACAGCCCCACTCGGCTGGCGATTTGAAATTATGACCTATTCACACGAGCTATTCGACCCTTGAGTCTCAGGTCCCTTCAGATACAGATTCTCATTCACACCTGCCGGAGGTTTTGGCACCTTGGCGAGTACTTAGCAGCACTTTCTCCACCGGCACACTCGGCACTGGGCTCTGGGCTTTCACCAGCGCTGCACTCATCCAGCGGGCCTGGGGCCTAGGTCACTATAACGCTGGCTGTATAACAGTGGGGGCCAGCTTGTGGGCCAATGTCCTTTGACCTTTAGTCCCCATTTTCGGCAGGCACTCCCCAGAGAGGTATCGGAAAAGAAGGTCAAACCTGAGAGGGAGTCCTCACCGGGCCGAGCTGCTGGCACTCCAAAGCTCTGACCAGCACCGCTGATTTCATTCGCACTAATCCCAACCAGCCAGCTAGCCACAACAACAACAACAACACACCTCACTGTGAATTGTTAAAACAAACAAGCAGCAAAATCAGCACACAACCTCATAGATACACACAAACACGACTACAAACACGCACCGGAGGCAGAGCTCTCGAGCTGGAGATGGGGGACAGCAGCTTCTATCTATTACGTAATATTTTTAATAAAATGAAAACGAAGCTTGGAACTGGCTGCATGCCGGGGGAGAGAGCGAGACCGAGCAAAAACAAAAGCGGCCACGCACTATACAAGCAAGCGAGAGCAGGGCGTACTATGTATCTGAGAATGCGAGTATCTGAGTATCTGAGTATCTGAAGGTGGTGCAGTCGGTGAGAGCGAAAGAGAAACTGTGGCGTGCGATGGGGATGGGGATGCGAGTCAGTCAGGGTTGTTTTTCCAACTCGAACTGCATAACTTCGACTCCGATTCAGAGTTCTCGGCTTGAGATCCGAGCTAGCGAATTCTGATTTTTCGAATGGCACACTTTTCATCGAGGGCCGATGATGATCATGATGATGATGTTGTGGGTCGGAAAATATGTAGGTGTGTGGGGGAGAAGCATGTTGTGCGATGAACTCATAATTCGAGTGGGGGGTGGGGGGCCAGAGAGCTGGTTAAGAAGAGAGAGCGTGCGGGGCGTGGAGTCTCCAGTACGTGCCGTGCCGTAGTTGTAGTTGCGGTTGGGCAATTGAGAGTTCAATTAAGCAGGCCAAGAGTTCAACTCGAGTTGGAAACTTAATGCCGAGCGTAGCTAGTGGCCAGGGGCGTAGGCCGGATCCCCCCTTTCGAGCAGTTAATTACCTGACGACCCACCACCACCACCAAAGTCAAACTTTGGAAACGTAATTAGTTTTTTTTTTGGAGAAAAACCTGTTTTCCTTTTTTTTAGTTCCAAATTGGTGCGTTCGACACTTCTGATTGTTTCTTTTCTAGCAGTGTATAGATGTGTGTGTGTGTGTAGTGTTGCGTACTTGTCATAAACAATACGATCCACTAAATATACAAACAAACACAACAACAAACACAAACAAACTATGCGGCACTTGTGCGGCAGGGAATGAAAGTGGAACTGGGACTGCCACTGCCACTGCGACTCTGGGCTCTAAAATTTTCACCCTGCAGAGTGCATTATTGCTTTTCTTTTTTTCTTTCTTTTTTTTTTTTCGCTCTCATCCACTCCGCATGAAAAACTTCAACTCGTGACCTCTCCAAAGGGGCTGGCCGAGGGGGCGGAGTGCTTCCTATTTTTACATGGCGTGTGTGATTGTGATGGTGCTTATGCCTGTGACTTTGCCTGTGACTGTGCCTGTGGTGAGGCACGTAACTGTATTTAAGCCAAATGCATATGATGATGGGTGTATCTATGAGGAAGAAGAGAGCGCGCCCGCCGTCATAAACACACACACACACACATGGACACTAGCACTCAGGTTGGTCTGCCCCTGTGTGGGTAAGAGTGTATCTCCGATTAGGTTTTCGGTTTTCAGTTTTTCGTTTTTTTTTCGCTTTTTTTATCACCAACCGAACTGACGCAAATGTTACTTAAGGCTTTCTTGGCGGCAGAGATACTTTCGGCAGAGCGGATGAGATACAAAATAGGATCGTATCTCTGGGATGCACTGTTTGTTTTGATTTGTTTTTATTATTTTTTTTTTTTGGTGAATTACTTCTCTTGGCTTTTGGTTCTGGGCGCTGGTCAACGTAAAAAAAAAAACAGACACACAAAAATAAAACAAATGCGGCGGCACACACGTTCGATTGGGAGTAGTTTTTAGTAATGAGTGTAACAGCCCAGCATAGCCGAGACGAGCCGAGTTGAGCCACACCACTGACACACACACACACCAACACCAACACACAAATACGCACTACGCGCTCTCACCAAAAACACAGAATGATGTCATCAACGGCAGAGGCAGCAGAGTCAGCAGAGCCGTTGCCGAGAAGACGGTGGCGACGGCGGCAAAATATGAAACATTGAGACAATTTTAATCGATGATGTTTTTCCTTTACGCATATTATCTACACATCATATATATATCACTCCACTGGGCAGCGAATTTCCGAGATAGATGTTCCCCACCATTCTGAGATACATTTGCACTCTCATCCGCTCTTATGCTGCTTCTTCGTTGCCCCTCCTGAGTTTTTTTTTAGTACCAGATACACTTGGGCGTTGGTTGCCGATTTCACAAGCGTTTTTTCGCGAACTGGGGGGCATTGCACATCGCACTTACCTACTGGATAATTTTGGTTCTCCGCTCGCCCCAATCGATTCATAAAACACAGTTAATTTCATAGATTTAGCACGTTAGTCGAAAGGCTTCGGTCTGGCGGATCTACTGCTTGCGAGAATGGAAAATGTGTATTCAAAACACGACGGTGTAGTGTGACCAGGCGGCGGCAAGGAAAACACCGCCACTATATATTTTAAATTTACCAGCCCTAATTGTCAGGTAATTTGGAAGAAACAATTAATATTTTTTATAAAATGCTAATCAAGATTTAATAATATCACAATATAGTTTATTTTCAAATTAAAACATTTAAATATTTGAAAAACAAAGCTGCCAGATCGGTAAAACACCCTGCGCAATGTGGCCAGATTCTGCAGAACGGGGGTGGACTTAATCTGCAGCAGCCACACTTTTGACTAGTTTTGGATACGGATGCGGGGGCCTCTATGATTTTTCCAGATAATCCTGGTCAAAGATTGTTTACGAGGAGTCAAACGCCTAGCGGGATTGACCGCCCGCTGGGTCCACCGATAGCCAAGCGAAAGAAGTGGATCGCAGGAGCATCGATTATCCAGAGCAACAAGTTGCGGTTTGGATCTGCATCCGTATCTGTACAAGATGCCGGTAAAGATGTACGATGTCACGTCGCGCGTGTTTAGCGCCATGCAGAACCTGGACATCACATTGCTGGCCAGTTACCCGGAGACGGAGATCCGGCCGGTGCTGCCGTCGTTGGTCCGGATGAGCCTTCTATCGCCGCTGGATAACACGGAATCATCGATGGAATCGCGCAAGCAGATCCTGGCCGTCCTCATCGGTATCGAGGTGGTGAACAGCATAGTCTCCTACCTGCAGGTCAACTACCACGAGCTTGAGAACGAGCTCAAGAAGGAGTTGCAAACGCGACAGAAATCTGTCTACTTCGAGGGCCAACAGCACGAATACGGCCTGCAGTCCGGTATTGCGCTGGGATTCGAGCGGGCGGACGTGGCCCGCAAGGTGCGAGTGGTGCTCTCAGAGATTTTTAATCTTCAGCAGCAGGTTTCGGAGCAGAAGCCGGCTGCCCACTCCGAAATCCTCGACGATGGCATCTATCTGGAGGAAGTTGTGGACATCCTCTGCATAGCCCTTGCCGAGCTGCCCTCTCTGCTTAATATCCTTGAACTGACTGATGCCCTCGTCCATGTGCCGAATGGTCACAGAATTATCTGCGCTTTGGTGGCCAATTTCCCGGACTGCTATCGCGACGTGGTGTCCCACGTGATCGCCAACTGTGATGAGGAGGGCACCGACGGCAAGTACCGGCTGACCCTGTTGATGGCGCTTAGCGAGATGAATCCCTCCCAGGCGCTGGCCAATCGTTCCATGTGCGTGGAAATGCTGAAAGTGCCCTCATTTATGCTTAAGCTGACACTGAAGCATCCCGAGGACCTGGTAAGTAGACGATACCATACTTTGATAAAGTAGTGGTACCTGGTATTGGTTCCTTTGGTTTCCCAATAAGTTTCACTATTTCTCTCCCTTTCTTTTTCATGTAATTCACTTCATCTTGGAAAGATTGCCTTTCTCACCGGCTTGCTGCTGGGAAACGATCAAAACCTACGCTCCTGGTTCGCCGTCTACATCCGCTCCAGCCAGAAGCGCAAGGGCGACGCACTTAATCTGGTGCGTGTGGAGCTGCTGCAGAAGGTGATTCAAACGACCAGCAAGGCGACGGAGCTTCGTGACTTCAATTTGCAGGGAGCGGTACTGCTACGTCTTTATTGTGCCCTCCGCGGAATAGGCGGGCTGAAGTTCAACGATGATGAGATAAATGCGCTGTCCCAGCTGGTCACCAGCTGTCCCCAGGCAACGCCATCGGGCGTGAGGTTTGTGACGCTGGCCCTTTGCATGCTCATCGCCTGTCCATCGCTAGTTTCCACCGTTCCGCTTGAGAACAAGGCGGTGGAGTGGCTTACGTGGCTGATACGTGAGGATGCCTTCTTTTGCAAACGCTCAGGGACTAGTTCGTCCCTCGGCGAGATGCTCCTCCTGCTGGCAATCCATTTTCACAGCAACCAGATCTCAGCGATCAGCGAAATGGTTTGCTCCACGCTGGCCATGAAAATACCTATTCGGCCGAATAGCACGAATCGCATTAAGCAGCTCTTTACCCAGGATCTTTTCACGGAGCAGGTGGTGGCCCTACATGCTGTTCGCGTCCCGGTGACGCCGAATCTGAACGGCACAATACCTGGCTACTTACCGGTGCACTGCATACACCAGTTGCTCAAGTCGCGGACTTTCCTGAAGCATAAAGTGCCGATCAAGGCGTGGATCTTCAAGCAGATCTGCAGCTCTGTGCGGCCCGTGCATCCGGTAATGCCCGCCTTAGTGGAGGTGTTTGTGAACACGTTGATCATACCGAATCCCACCGGAAAGGTGAACATTGACCACATGCACCGGCCGTTCACAGAGGCGGAAATTCTGCATGTCTTCCGGACCTCGAAGTTAACCTTATTCGCCGAAGAGCTGCCCCCAATGGCAGAAAGTGAGGAGCTATCTTCCATAGAGGTGAGATATAGGCAGTTATATATGTTTCTCGGACTATAATAAAGGATTTATCATCTTCCAGGTTAGCTGCCCACTCACTGCCCAGCTTCTGATGATATACTATCTGATGTTGTATGAGGACACGCGACTGATGAACCTAAGCGCTCTGGGCGGCCGCAAGCAGAAAGAATACTCCAACAACTTCTTGGGCGGGCTGCCACTGAAGTATCTGCTGCAGAAGGCTCACCACTACCACCACGACTATCTGTCGCTGTTCCACCCGCTGCTGCGACTCATTATCTCCAACTATCCACACCTCAGTATGGTGGACGACTGGCTGGAGGAGCAAAACCTGACGGAGGGCAATCCTCCGCTGGCAGTGGTGAGCAAGCGGGAGCTGAAACCAGAGCAACTGGATCAGGCGCTAGGAGCTATTCAATCAAAGCCGCATCTGGCCATTCGGGCGTTTAAGCAACTGCTCCAACTACCACCAGAATCCCTGGCGCAATATGGCCAGAAGCTTGTGCAGCACATGCCAATGGTCTTTGAGAAGACAGTACCGCGGTACATTAAAGACCTGTATAACGATCTATGGCTGCGCCTGAACGCAGTGCTACCCACCACCCTCTGGATTATGTCGCTGCGGGCGATTACTAGTAGCTCGGACTCTATCAACAGGCGCTCCTTTGGCAACGAGAGTCTTTTGGAGCCCATGGAAGTACTAAGGTGGGTAAATCGCAGTAGCTCTACCGCGCCAAACTAACAATTCTTTTATTTCCTCCAGTTGCCCTCGTCACGTATTCTGCTCTCCGTATCTGCTGATGATTCTACTCCGCATCCTCAAGGGAAGTCTGGCCGCCTCTAAGACGTATCTCAATGTACACATGCAGCAGAAACAAGTGCTGGACAAAAACGGCTTGGTGCAGACTGATGCGGATCGGGAGGAGCTGAAGACAACGCTGATTGCCTCGCAGGAGAGCGCCGCCGTTCACATCCTGCTGGAGGTGCTGGAGTACAAGGCGAGCAAAGCCCACGACCGTGTTTCCCATTTGGAGCTTCGCGAGATCCAGGGCATTATAGGCACATACGTCCACCAGGCCTTCATTTCGGAGCCCTCGTTGGCGAAACTGGTCCACTTCCAGACGTACCCCAAGTCCGTCATCCCCATGATCGTGGCCAGCGTACCGTCGATGCACATCTGCATTGATTTTGTCCACGAGTTCCTCAATGTAACCGAGATGGACAAGCAGATCTTCACCATCGAGCTCACCTCGCACCTGGTTCTCAACTACTCGATACCCAAGAGCTTGGGCGTCTCGAAGTTCTGCCTGAACGTGATCCAGACCACGTTGTCCCTCCTCACATCTTCAGCCAAGTGCAAGTTCCTGCGGAACATCCTGCCGGCCATGGTGCGCTTTGTGGAGACTTTTCCCATCCTGGCGGACGACTGTGTCAACATACTGATGACCACTGGCCGTAGTCTCCACTCTCAATCCTCGCTGGGCGTAACTACCATGCAGATGCCGCTCACGGAGAGCGCTAAGCTCTGCTCCTACAGGGATGCTCAGCTACACATCACCATGATAGAGGATGCGTTCAAGGCGCTTGTCACGGCTGTCATGCAGAAGTCGGAACTGTATTAATAGGAGGTGGCTAAGCCTCAGAAATCCCTTACTCTACCCATTTATTTTTTCCCGCCCTCGTCTTAATATAATATCGTATGTAAAATTCATAAAAACAAATGACCAAAATAGTTTAAGTAAAAAGCTAATTTTTAAAATCTACCCCTTTAGTGAACTATTAAAGATTCTTAATGGCATGATCTTTACATTTGTTTATCTATATATGTATATGACTTTTCCATTCCCCCTTCTAAGCTCCCCAATTTCCGGTTTTTCCCGTTTCTCCACCTTCAGAAGATCGTAGCTCCCACAATTCGTATCCGATCGAGAAAACCCATACCTTTCTGTAATCAGAGGTCTTAGAAGCTGATTTCCTCATACTTTAACTTCTTTGAAAACGATTTTGAATTTTTTCGAATTTTTCCAAGGGGTTCCCCTGCAAAAATCCCAATTTCCGGTTTTCCCCACTTCTCCACCTTCGAAAGATCGTAGCTCCCACAATTCGTATCCGATCGAGAAAACCCATACCTTTCTGTAATCAGAGGTCTTAGAAGCTGATTTCCTCATACTTTAACTTCTCTGAAAACGATTTTGAATTTTTTCGAATTTTTCCAAGGGGTCTCCCTGCAAAAAACCCAATTTCCGGTTTTCCCCACTTCTCCACCTTCGAAAGATCGTAGCTCCCACAATTCGTATCCGATCGAGAAAAGCCATACCTTTCTGTAATCAGATGTCTTAGTAGCTGATTTCCTCATACTAGACCTTCTCTAAAAACGATTTTAAATTTTTTCGAATTTTTCCAAGGGGTCTCCCTGCAAAAATCCCAATTTCCGGATTTCCCCATTTCTCCACCTTCAGAAGATCGTAGCTCCCACAATTCGTATCCGATCGAGAAAAGCCATACCTTTCTGTAATCAGAGGTCCTAGTAGCTGATTTCCTCATACTAGACCTTCTCTAAAAACGATTTTAAATTTTTTCCAATTTTTCCAAGGGGTCTCCCTTCAAAAATCCCAATTTCCGGTTTTCCCCATTTCTCCACCTTCAGAAGATCGTAGCTCCCACAATTCGTATCCGATCGAGAAAAGCCATACCTCGCTGTAATCAGAGGTCCTAGTAGCTGATTTCCTCTTACTAGACCTTCTCTAAAAACGATTTTAAATTTTTTCGAATTTTTCCAAGGGGTTCCCCTGCAAAAATCCCAATTTCCGGTTTTCCCCATTTCTCCACCTTCAGAAGATCGTAGCTGCCACAATTCGTATCCGATCGAGAAAAGCCGTAGTAGTAGTAGTATCGTAGTATGAGGAAATCAGCTACTAGGACCTCGCTGTAATCAGAGGTCCTAGTAGCTGATTTCCTCATACTAGACCATCTCTAAAAACGGTTTTAAATTTTTTCGAATTTTTCCAAGGGGTCTCCCAGCAAAAATCCCAATTTCCGGGTTTTCCCATTTCTTCACCTTCGAAAGATCGTAGCTCCCACAATTCGTATTCGATCGAGAAAACCCATACCTTTCTGTAATCAGAGGTCTAAGTAGCTGATTTCCTCATACCAGACCTTCTTTAAAAACGATTTTAAATTTTTTCGAATTTTTCCAAGGGGTCTCCCAGCAAAAATCCCAATTTCCGGGTTTTCCCATTTCTTCACCTTCGAAAGATCGTATCTCCCACAATTCGTATCCGATCGCGAAAAGCCGTACCTTTCTGTAATCAGAGGTCCTAGTAGCTGATTTCCTCATACTAGACCTTCTCTAAAAACGATTTTAAATTTTTTCCAATTTTTCCAAGGGGTCTCCCTTCAAAAATCCCAATTTCCGGTTTTCCCCATTTCTCCACCTTCAGAAGATCGTAGCTCCCACAATTCGTATCCGATCGAGAAAAGCCATACCTCGCTGTAATCAGAGGTCCTAGTAGCTGATTTCCTTTTACTAGACCTTCTCTAAAAACGATTTTAAATTTTTTCGAATTTTTCCAAGGGGTTCCCCTGCAAAAATCGCACTTTCCGGTTTTCCCCATTTCTCCACCTTCAGAAGATCGTAGCTCCCACAATTCGTATCCGATCGAGAAAAGCCATACCTCGCTGTAATCAGAGGTCTTAGTAGCTGATTTCCTCATACTAGACCATCTCTAAAAACGGTTTTAAATTTTTTCGAATTTTTCCAAGGGGTCTCCCTGCAAAAATCCCAATTTCCGGGTTTTCCCATTTCTTCACCTTCGAAAGATCGTAGCTCCCACAATTCGTATTCGATCGAGAAAACCCATACCTTTCTGTAATCAGAGGTCTAAGTAGCTGATTTCCTCATACCAGACCTTCTTTAAAAACGATTTTAAATTTTTTCGAATTTTTCCAAGGGGTTCCCCTGCAAAAATCGCACTTTCCGGTTTTCCCCATTTCTCCACCTTCAGAAGATCGTAGCTCCCACAATTCGTATCCGATCGAGAAAAGCCATACCTCGCTGTAATCAGAGGTCTTAGTAGCTGATTTCCTCATACTAGACCATCTCTAAAAACGGTTTTAAATTTTTTCGAATTTTTCCAAGGGGTCTCCCTGCAAAAATCCCAATTTCCGGGTTTTCCCATTTCTTCACCTTCGAAAGATCGTAGCTCCCACAATTCGTATCCGATCGAGAAAACACATACCTTTCTGTAATCAGAGGTCTTAGAAGCTGATTTCCTCATACTTTAACTTCTTTGAAAACGATTTTGAATTTTTTCGAATTTTTCCAAGGGGTTCCCCTGCAAAAATCCCAATTTCCGGTTTTCCCCACTTCTCCACCTTCGAAAGATCGTAGCTCCCACAATTCGTATCCGATCGAGAAAACCCATACCTTTCTGTAATCAGAGGTCTTAGAAGCTGATTTCCTCATACTTTAACTTCTCTGAAAACGATTTCGAATTTTTCGAATTTTTCCAAGGGGTTCCCCTGCAAAAATCCCAATTTCCGGTTTTCCCCATTTCTCCACCTTCAGAAGATCGTAGCTCCCACAATTCGTATCCGATCGAGAAAACCCATACCTTTCTGCAATCAGAGGTCCTAGTAGCTGATTTCCTTATACTAGACCTTCTCTAAAAAAAATTTTAAATTTTTTCGAATTTTTCCAAGGGGTCTCCCTGCAAAAATCCCAATTTCCGGTTTTCCCCATTTCTCCACCTTCGAAAGATCGTAGCTCCCACAATTCGTATCCGATCGAGAAAAGCCATACCTTTCTGTAATCAGAGGTCCTAGTAGCTGATTTCCTCATACTAGACCTTCTCTAAAAACGATTTTAAATTTTTTCGAATTTTTCCAAGGGGTTCCCCTGCAAAAATCCCAATTTCCGGTTTTCCCCATTTCTCCACCTTCAGAAGATCGTAGCTCCCACAATTCGTATCCGATCGAGAAAAGCCATACCTTTCTGTAATCAGAGGTCCTAGTAGCTGATTTCCTCATACTAGACCTTCTCTAAAAACGATTTTAAATTTTTTCGTATTTTTCCAAGGGGTTCCCCTGCAAAAATCCCAATTTCCGGTTTTCCCCGTTTCTCCACCTTCGAAAGATCGTAGCGCGCACAATTCGTATCCGATCGAGAAAAGCCACACCTTTCTGTAATCAGAGGTCTTAGTAGCTGATTTCCTCATACTAGACCGTCTCTAAAAACGATTTTCAATTTTTTCGAATTTTTCCAAGGGGTTCCTCTGCAAAAATCCCAATTTCCGGTTTTCCCCATTTCTCCACCTTCAGAAGATCGTAGCTCCCACAATTCGTATCCGATCGAAAAAGCCATACCTTTCTGTAACCAGAGGTCCTAGTAGCTGATTTCCTCATACTAGACCTTCTCTGAAAACGATTTTAAATTTTTTCGTATTTTTTCAAGGGGTTCCCCTGCAAAAATCGCAATTTCCGGTTTCCCCATATTTCGACCTTCCGAAGATCGTAGCTCCCACAATTCGTATCCGATCGAAAAAAGCCATACCTTTCTGTAATCAGAGGTCCTAGTAGCTGATTTCCTCATACTAGACCTTCTCTGAAAACGATTTTAAATTTTTCGAATTTTTCCAAGGGGTTCCCCTGCAAAAATCGCAATTTCCGGTTTTCCCCATATTTCGACCTTCCGAAGATCGTAGCTCCCACAATTCGTATCCGATCGAAAAAAGCCATACCTTTCTGTAATCAGAGGTCCTAGTAGCTGATTTCCTCATACTAGACCTTCTCTAAAAACGATTTTAAATTTTTTTCGAATTTTTCCAAGGGGTTCCCCTGCAAAAATCGCAATTTCCGGTTTTCCCCATTTCTCCACCTTCAGAAGATCGTAGCTCCCACAATTCGTATCCGATCGAAAAAAGCCATACCTTTCTGTAACCAGAGGTCCTAGTAGCTGATTTCCTCATACTAGACCTTCTCTAAAAACGATTTTAAATTTTTTCGAATTTTTCCAAGGGATCTCCCTGCAAAAATCCCAATTTCCGGTTTTCCCCATTTCTCCACCTTCAGAAGATCGTAGCTCCCACAATTCGTATCCGATCGAAAAAAGCCATATCTTTCTGTAATCAGAGGTCCTAGTAGCTGATTTCCTCATACTAGACCATCTCTAAAAACGGTTTTAAATTTTTTCGAATTTTTCCAAGGGGTCTCCCAGCAAAAATCCCAATTTCCGGGTTTTCCCATTTCTTCACCTTCGAAAGATCGTAGCTCCCACAATTCGTATTCGATCGAGAAAACCCATACCTTTCTGTAATCAGAGGTCTAAGTAGCTGATTTCCTCATACCAGACCTTCTTTAAAAACGATTTTAAATTTTTTCGAATTTTTCCAAGGGGTCTCCCAGCAAAAATCCCAATTTCCGGGTTTTCCCATTTCTTCACCTTCGAAAGATCGTAGCTCCCACAATTCGTATCCGATCGAGAAAAGCCATACCTCGCTGTAATCAGAGGTCTTAGTAGCTGATTTCCTCATACTAGACCATCTCTAAAAACGGTTTTAAATTTTTTCGAATTTTTCCAAGGGGTCTCCCTGCAAAAATCCCAATTTCCGGGTTTTCCCATTTCTTCACCTTCGAAAGATCGTAGCTCCCACAATTCGTATTCGATCGAGAAAACCCATACCTTTCTGTAATCAGAGGTCTAAGTAGCTGATTTCCTCATACCAGAACTTCTTTAAAAACTATTTTAAATTTTTTCGAATTTTTCCAAGGGGTCTCCCTGCAAAAATCCCAATTTCCGGGTTTTCCCATTTCTTCACCTTCGAAAGATCGTAGCTCCCACAATTCGTATCCGATCGAGAAAACCCATACCTTTCTGTAATCAGAGGTCTTAGAAGCTGATTTCCTCATACTTTAACTTCTTTGAAAACGATTTTGAATTTTTTCGAATTTTTCCAAGGGGTTCCCCTGCAAAAATCCCAATTTCCGGTTTTCCCCACTTCTCCACCTTCGAAAGATCGTAGCTCCCACAATTCGTATCCGATCGAGAAAACCCATACCTTTCTGTAATCAGAGGTCTTAGAAGCTGATTTCCTCATACTTTAACTTCTCTGAAAACGATTTCGAATTTTTTCGAATTTTTCCAAGGGGTTCCCCTGCAAAAATCCCAATTTCCGGTTTTCCCCATTTCTCCACCTTCAGAAGATCGTAGCTCCCACAATTCGTATCCGATCGAGAAAACCCATACCTTTCTGCAATCAGAGGTCCTAGTAGCTGATTTCCTTATACTAGACCTTCTCTAAAAAAAATTTTAAATTTTTTCGAATTTTTCCAAGGGGTCTCCCTGCAAAATCCCAATTTCCGGTTTTCCCCATTTCTCCACCTTCGAAAGATCGTAGCTCCCACAATTCGTATCCGATCGAGAAAAGCCATACCTTTCTGTAATCAGAGGTCCTAGTAGCTGATTTCCTCATACTAGACCTTCTCTAAAAACGATTTTAAATTTTTCGAATTTTTCCAAGGGGTTCCCCTGCAAAAATCCCAATTTCCGGTTTTCCCCATTTCTCCACCTTCAGAAGATCGTAGCTCCCACAATTCGTATCCGATCGAGAAAAGCCATACCTTTCTGTAATCAGAGGTCCTAGTAGCTGATTTCCTCATACTAGACCTTCTCTAAAAACGATTTTAAATTTTTTCGTATTTTTCCAAGGGGTTCCCCTGCAAAATCCCAATTTCCGGTTTTCCCCGTTTCTCCACCTTCGAAAGATCGTAGCGCGCACAATTCGTATCCGATCGAGAAAAGCCACACCTTTCTGTAATCAGAGGTCTTAGTAGCTGATTTCCTCATACTAGACCGTCTCTAAAAACGATTTTCAATTTTTTCGAATTTTTCCAAGGGGTTCCTCTGCAAAAATCCCAATTTCCGGTTTTCCCCATTTCTCCACCTTCAGAAGATCGTAGCTCCCACAATTCGTATCCGATCGAAAAAAGCCATACCTTTCTGTAACCAGAGGTCCTAGTAGCTGATTTCCTCATACTAGACCTTCTCTGAAAACGATTTTAAATTTTTTCGTATTTTTTCAAGGGGTTCCCCTGCAAAAATCGCAATTTCCGGTTTCCCCATATTTCGACCTTCCGAAGATCGTAGCTCCCACAATTCGTATCCGATCGAAAAAAGCCATACCTTTCTGTAATCAGAGGTCCTAGTAGCTGATTTCCTCATACTAGACCTTCTCTGAAAACGATTTTAAATTTTTTCGAATTTTTCCAAGGGGTTCCCCTGCAAAAATCGCAATTTCCGGTTTTCCCCATATTTCGACCTTCCGAAGATCGTAGCTCCCACAATTCGTATCCGATCGAAAAAAGCCATACCTTTCTGTAATCAGAGGTCCTAGTAGCTGATTTCCTCATACCAGACCTTCTCTAAAAACGATTTTAAATTTTTTTCGAATTTTTCCAAGGGGTTCCCCTGCAAAAATCGCAATTTCCGGTTTTCCCCATTTCTCCACCTTCAGAAGATCGTAGCTCCCACAATTCGTATCCGATCGAAAAAAGCCATACCTTTCTGTAACCAGAGGTCCTAGTAGCTGATTTCCTCATACTAGACCTTCTCTAAAAACGATTTTAAATTTTTTCGAATTTTTCCAAGGGATCTCCCTGCAAAAATCCCAATTTCCGGTTTTCCCCATTTCTCCACCTTCAGAAGATCGTAGCTCCCACAATTCGTATCCGATCGAAAAAAGCCATATCTTTCTGTAATCAGAGGTCCTAGTAGCTGATTTCCTCATACTGGACCTTCTCTAAAAACGATTTTAAATTTTTTCGAATTTTTCCAAGGGGTCTCCCTGCAAAAATCCCAATTTCCTGTTTTCCCCATTTCTCCACCTTCAGAAGATCGTAGTTCCCTGTGTTCTTATCGTAAAAAATTCTCTTGAAAATTCCCATTTACGATATTCTTCACGATAATGAAGAATATCGATAGTCGAATATCGATTATCAATTGTTTTCCATCTCCAATACGTGGCGCCGGTGGAACTCTGATAAGGATTTGGGATTGCTCCACGATGAAGGACCTTTTCTGGCACCTTGTGGGCATCAGTATTGGCCTAAAGATCCTCCTTATACCGGCATAGTGAGCTGCTGCAGCTTAATCCCTGTTGGGCTATCATTAACCTTCTTCTTCCCCAGCCACTCCACAGACTTCGAGGTGCATCGCAACTGGCTGGCAATCACTCACAGCTTGCCACTGAACCAATGGTATGTGGAGGCTACCAGCGAATGGACTCTGGACTACCCACCCTTCTTCGCCTACTTCGAGTGGCTCCTATCCCAGGTGGCCAAGTACGTGGATCCCCGAATGCTCGAGGTAGCGAACCTCAACTATGATTCAAAGGCCACCGTATACTTCCAGCGATTGTCAGTCATCGTAACAGATCTGGTCTACGTTCTGGGTGTGCGCAGCTGTCTGGGCTCCTTAGGCCTGGCACGGGATACTCAGCAGCACTTTGCCGCCTCCATGATTCTGTTGCTCAACGTGGGACTGCTCTTTGTTGACCACATCCACTTCCAATACAATGGCTTTCTGTTTGGCATCCTGTTGCTGGGCATCAGCTTCCTTGTGCGCCGGAGGTTTCTGTGTAGCGCTTTTACCTTTGCAGTCCTTCTAAACTTTAAACACATATTTCTGTATTTGGCCCCGGCCTTCGGGGTCTACCTTCTAAGGTTCTACTGCCTGGAGCAAGTGGGCACTAAATCACAGATAAAAGCATTTCTGAAGCTTTTGGCCGTGGGACTGTTTCCCTTTGCCGCCTCCTTTGGACCCTTCTGGCAGCAGATTCCACAGGTGCTCTCTCGCTTGTTTCCCTTCAAGCGGGGACTGACTCATGCCTACTGGGCGCCCAACTTCTGGGCTTTGTACAATAGCGCCGACAAGGTGCTCGCCAGCGCGCTCCGGGTAAAGGCTGATGGAGCGGGAGCCACCTCTGGACTGGTGCAGGAAGTCAAGCACGTGGTATTACCAAGTATATCGCCTCCCGTTACCTTTGCCCTGACGGTTCTATTCATGCTGCCCATTCTTGTGAAGCTTTTCAGGAGCTCCAAAAGGTAAATGCCATAAGCCTTAAGTTATGAGTAACTAATGCATATTCTATTCGACAGCCAAAGCCCTCTGGTGTTCCTTCGCGCCGTGGTCCTCTGTGGCTGTTCTTCCTTTGTCTTCGGCTGGCACGTCCATGAAAAGGCCATTTTGATGGTTCTCCTGCCGCTGTGGTAAGTAACTTGCATACTAACTCTGAAAGGTACCCACTAACTCCAACCCCATGCTCCTGCAGCTTGCTCACCGTAGTGAATCGTGAGGATGCCCGATACGCCTACATCTTGGCCATTGCCGGTTACTTCTCATTGTTCCCACTGCTTTTCGATCCCGATCTGTTCATTCCCCGCTACTCATTGTATATGTCATATGTGGCCATGCTGTACGGCCAGCTGTATCGTGTGTTTCCCGGTTTTCGGGGCTTCCATGTGATCGAGTGGCTCTACGTTCTCGGCTTTTTGGGAATCCCTCTGTACGAGCACTTGCTGGCCCACTTGCTTGGCTGGCACCGGCGCCTGCCTTTTCTGCCCCTGCTGCTGACTTCCGTGTACTCGGCAATTGGGGTGCTCTACTTCTTCGGGGGCTATTACCTGTACGCCCTAGGCATCGGTTCGCACGCAAAGTGGCACTCCTCGACGTCCGCGGAGACGGTCGAGAAAACTCGAAAGAAAAAACGAAAGACGAAATAAATACATAGGTCCTCGAATAGGATTCAGCAGAAACACATTCGTATCGTTGTCCTCAAGGCGCCTGGTACAACAGCCAGCTCGGCGCCGCTGGCTGGGATGATAAACAATGGCTGCGCCATAAACAAAAGCCGTTAAGCGGAAATCGTCCCACGGACCGCGGGCCAGGTAGTAAGATGAGATTATGGTCGGGGCTTGGGCCATAAAACAGGCAACAGCTTACAGCCCGGCCGCCGGGCGAGATTCTTGGAAAACCCGCGGAAAATACGCGGACTGAATGAATATATGAATCGGCCAGAGTGGCTAGCGGTTCAGTTGATGGTTTTCCAACCAGCGAACAGGTTATCCCTCTATTCGTCAAGCATAATGCAGTTGCAGATGGAGTTCTCGCCCAGCTACGGCTACGAGGCATTCAAGAGATCCCCGCAGGATCAGGCAGCAACCAAGTAAGATGGATATCCAAGGTTTTTGGGGAAAAACTGCTCCCGAAGCTCATCCATTTGTCTTGCAGCCAGGTGGACCCGGACGACTCGTGCTTCCAGCGAGGATCCTATATCGAACTGTCCTCTGGCGCCATTCGTCGCGTGGAGGACATTCGCACGGAAGACTTCATACAATCGGCGATGCGCAACCAGCGCTTTGAGCTGCGTGAGGCAACGGTGGTAAGGATCGATCACGGCACCAACGGAGGAGGCGACCATGTGACCATCACCTTCAGCTACGACACCCAGCACGCCAAGGTAAGCTTGCCATCATATTATTTTGGTAGGCATTTAAGATGGTCAAACGAAAGTTACGTACTTCCACTTTTGTAGGTAAACCTGGAGGTGGCGCCGGCCCATCCCCTGTTTGTTTACGGCCAAGGCTGGGCTTCGTGCAATCCGCAAGCGTCGCTGCAGCTGTACGAGCTCAGGTGTCAGCAATTGCAGGTCGGCGACATCTGCCTGTCGCTGGTTCCCCGCCAGCCCCCTGTGGCTCCGGTGGCTCCACCCACTCCTGCTTTGTCTCAGGTCCCAGCCACAGCTCCAGTTACAGCGAATGATTATCCAGTTGGGGCATCGTCCCCGCCGCATGGTGCGTACCCTGTGCCGCCTCACCGGAATCCTTACCAGATGTACGCTCAGATGGCAAACTTTGTGGCTGCCTACACCCAGCACATAATTGCCGAAAAGATGAGGCAGAGATCCGAGGAACAAAATAGAAGTGACTTCGGAGCGGAGTTTTATTATAATTAATATTCATTTAAGAAAACTCTGAAATATTTTGATGGAAATCTATAATTTTATTTTTTTTTAAATAAATATTTAAAAGTATTTGGTATTTCCGGTATCGAATTTTTCCCGCCAAGGCAAATAGAGATGGTAGGTTATAGATAACATTTGTATTCAACAGTTTTAAAGCAAAGTGCGACCACCAGTGATCATGTTTGTAATCTAGTAGCTTTTTGTAAATACAATTACACAAAAAATTTGTCTCACTTTGGAAAAAAAGAAGCCCTGGAAATGCAGAGTTCCTTGTGGATTCTGAGATGATATTAGATTTTAAAGGATTCTTACCTGAGATTTCTACGTTTTTAGATAGTTTTTTTTGCGTCATCGATGACTCAGTAAGCCGAGGTGGCACATATCGATAGGGATTAACACTACTGGTGGGGCCACCACTAACTCAATTGATAAGTGTTTCGACCAAAAAACGACCCAATACAACGAGAACCAGCTTATTTTGTGGTGTAAACAGTGGAGTAGAAAATTGATGTGGAGGAGATCAGATGTCAGCGCTAGCGCCGCCGCCTGCCGCCTCGATGAAGAACGCGCTGCACCCGGACAACTACAATGACGCGCAGGAGGATGTGGTGGCCACTGCTCTGCACGCGGATCTGGTTGATCGGGTTCTACGAAACAATAACCCTATCGATGCTAGCGGAAGCAGCAGCTGCGGCATCATCAGCGACGCCCAATGGTCCCAAGGACCCCTGGCTGGGCAACAACTTGTACTGCGCAACGTAAACCAGCAGGAAACGGCCAAAGGCCATCGAAAGTGTTACCAAAACAAAGGTGAGTTTAGCCTCAGTCCTTTGTTCAATCTGAGATGGTTATTGTTGTTATTTCACTCAGGTGATGCCGGCAGGACTCAGGATATGACGAACAATGGCGAGGACCTGCGTCTCTCAAAGATTATTCGACGGCTGTGTAACGAAACAAATCCCACGGCGGCATTGGATCTGTGTGCTAAGCTACATCAGGCAGTCCGCACGCCTATAAACATGGGCTACTTGTCCTGCTCCTTCGTGTGGGTCCTTGAGAACATGCTAACGCTTTTCAAGCAGTGCTCGCCCGTTGTTCTGGAGGAATGCAGCAAGATCCTGGGCGTGATCGGGTACATGAATCGCAAGTCGTACCCCATCTACGAAGATTTCATTGTGAAAAACTACCGGAACGGAGCAAAGCGTCTGCAGAAACATCTAATCCAGGCGTTGCGCACCACGATGAGGTGAATCCCTGACCTATTTCGCTAACCGCAGACTTATTTAATCCGTATTCCCTTGCACCTATCCACGCAGCTGTGACTCCAAGTGCGACCTTCATCCATATGCCGACAAAATAGTTATAATGTTAAAGGACTTTCTGGAGGGGGCAGAGAACGCTGAAAGCTTCACGGCAGTGAGTGATGCCCTTGTCCAGTTCTCGTATATCTACCGGGAGGCCTTCGAGTGCCACTTTACGGATGTGGTGGATATTGTCATCGGGTGGCAGCTGGAGGCAGGTCAGCCCAAGGAGCTCAAGCTGCACTGTGCCCAGGTGCTGGAACAGCTGACGCCCTACTTCAGCAAGCAGATAGACTTCAGCTACGGCCTGCTGGCACAATTCGTCGAGGACATCACTGTGCTGGAGGAAGCAGAGCCAGCGGAACGGGTGGGAGCGTTTGTGGGTGCCTTTAACACGCTTCTCAAGTGTTTGGCCCGTATGCACATCTTCGTAGGCAATCCCGCCTGCGAGTCCATTGTTCAGCTGGCGGTGGATCACCTCACTAAGATGCTGCCCAGTCTTCTGGAGGACACTGAAACGGACGCAGTAGTTAACATCAACGAGCTGCTCTGCATCTGCCTGATGAACGGCTTCGGTGGCCTCGATCCGAGCACCCTGGAGATGCTGCTCTTGGGCCAGTTTGAGCGGATGAGCCTAACAAGTGAGGCCCAGCGACAGAGCACGTTGTACCTACTACTTTGCTCGGTAAGGAGGTTGCGGGCCCGCCTGCCCGCCAGCCTTGTACAACTGATTTTCCAGAGCGATCCGTACCTGGCGAAGGTGAAGCGCGGTGATCCACGTGGCACGTCCTACAAGCTACTACTCCGCACCTGTCAGGAGACACTGCTCATCCGAAACGTTCCGCTGCTGCAGCAGGCCTACAAGCACCTGGTCGAGGACATCGACACCTGCATGGAAGCCATGCTCGTGGAAGATTCTCCTTCCCAGTGGAGAGCCACCGAATGCAGCGTTCTCCTTGTCTTCCATCTGACAGCCCTAGCTGCTCTCGCCAAACAAACATCCTCCATCATTGGAATGTATGCCTGCAAGCCCTCCATCCTGGAGCTCTTGCTGACCAACTGTCGGGCCCAGGACCTGGCGCTGTGGAGCCGATACCCCTCCACCCACCAGGCCATCCTCAAACTGCTGGTGGTGCACTGTCAGGCGAACCACAACTTCCGCACAAACTCCAGCCTGCTGCGAGATCAAGAGCAGCCCTTGTCGGAAAACACCTCTCCGACGGCCAACAGCTTTGCCACTATCCTGCGCTTCCTGGCCGCAGTCCTGGAGCACGCCGGCCAGCTGAACCCTCAAAATCTTCGGCAACTCCTCCAGTGGCTCCAAGTCCTCCTAAGTGAGTGTCGGGACCGAAGCGACGTCCTCCTGGACCAGGAGCAGTTCCTCAGTATTTGCCGGAGCCTGGTGACTAGTGCCTGCAAGTGGAGTCCCCAGGAGAGCGCCGCTTGCATCCAGACTGTGTTGGACTACGGCCCGGAGAAACACGAGAACCTGACAGAGTTGCTTACTCTCTACCGAGACATGGCGCTCCAGCAACTGCAGGTGCTATCGCCCAACGGCCACACTCCCTTCAGCCAGATCTACACCAAGCTGCCGCTCCGAATAACGCTGACCGGTGGCGACACACCCATTCCTGGCATGAGCAGCCGGAGGGTCTGTGTCTGGCAGCAGCGGATGAGCCAGTGCAGTGCGGTCAGAGACAGCGTGTTCCGGGACTTTTTCGCGCGCCTGCAACAGCCGGAACTGCAGCCATTGACCAACAGCTTGCGGGACCTCTTCGTGCGCAGCTGCCAAGTGGCGCCCCAAGACGAGCGGCAGGAGAAGCTGTCGCATTGCACGCGCCGTTGCCAGCGTCTGGCCACCGCCTGGCTGCAGTTCGAAGCGGCCAGGTACTGCGTGGACCAGCGACTCCGGACGACGCTGGGCAAGCCACAGGAGACCTTCCTCGCCTTCGAGGCCATCATCATGCGTCACGCCCGGCAACTGAGTGGCTGCGGCAAGGAAGAGGAGCGCGCCGCCCTGGACAGCTTGAACCTGGAAGAACTTTCCAATATTCAATCAAATCTAGGCCTTCTTCTGGGCTTTCTAGACTCGTTGGAGAAGCTCATCTACAACGCAGCCGAGGGCAGCGCATTTGCCCTCCGCCCGCCGGAGAAGCCGGTGGCTGCTTTCTTCCGTCTGAACAACCCCACCTGCCAGTCGTGGTTCAATCGCATCCGGATTGGAGTTGTCATTATTGCGGTGCATGTCCAGCAACCGGAGCTAGTGATTCGATACGCCCAGGTGAGTGCTCCTTATGGGATCAAACCAAGATCTAATTCTAATGTTGAACTTCATTTTCTTAGCAAATCTTGCTCACCGCGAAGACCCAGGACGCCACCCACAGCCAGGCAATCGTATACCTGGCCTGGGCATGGGTCGTCTGCCAGGAGGCGGACTCCCTGCGCGGCCTTTACCTCTGGGCTCGCTCCAAGAGCAGCAAGTCTTTCCAATGGCTTCAATACGCAGCGGACCAAGCTGGAGGCAGAAAAGACGCTGCTCTGGCCGGCTACCGCACTCTCTTGTGCGAGGCGGAGCCGTCGTCGGAGCTGGACACACACACGCGACAGTTTGTGGTTGCCCAGATGATGCAGTGCCTCCAGGACACGGGCCAGTGGTCGCAGCTGGTTGAGCTCAAGCAGCGCCAGCTAACGCGGCCCGAAGACCGCGAACGGAATCCCTTTCTACAGCAGAGCAACGTGGAGGTGAGTGCCATTGAGCGGCTTCTGGCCAAGAGCGAGGAGCAGGCGGCGGATATGGACGTTTTGAGTGGAGCTCTCCAGGAGCTTAGCCTGTGGCCCCGAGGCTGGGATGAATCCTCAACCGGACACGCCAGCTTTGCCTCCGTTCATGTGCGACAGCGCACGGAGAACCTGGTTCTCCATCACCTCGTCGACGATCGCAGCCTGCCCGAACAGGTGCGAAATCTCCTGGACACCCAGTGGCGCGACAGCCTCCTGAACCCGAGCTACGACCAGAGAGCCTGTCGCGAACTGACCATCCTTCGGCACGTGGCCCAGCGAGTAACTAGCGGCCAGGCGCTTTCCCTGCTGCCCCTCTGTCCCGTGGAAAATCGACGCCCCCAACTGCCCAGCGCCATCTACATGCGCTGCCTGGCATGGACGCAGCTACTCCGTCAGCACTGTGTTCCGGGCAGCTGGGAGACTCTCTGTCTGGACGCCGCTGCCGCCGCTCGATCGGAGGGCAACATCCAGTTATGCCAGTCACTGTTGGTCCAGTTCTTCGGCCAGCCGCTGGACGTAATTGCTCAGGAGTCGCTTTTGGGAACGGCGGATGGCCCGGATATGGCGCGTGGCTACAGCGAGCTAGCCAAGTGCCTGCAACTCCAGCAGCAGATGCATTGCAACGTGGAGGGCACTTCCCCGATCGACCTATGCTCCTCACTTTGCCTGGGCCTCCAGCGCAGCCAGCGCCATCCGGCTTTGGAGGCGGATCTGCTGCTGAAGCTCTCCGACTGGATAGCTGCCCGTACCTGCTGTGGCCTCGCGACGAACCCTTCGATGGCACTGGTCCAGCTGGTGGAGCAACTGCCAGAGTGCCCGCTGACCTGCAGCACGGCGGCCCAGCCTCTTGCTATTCCTCAGGCGGAGCGACTGGTGGCCCGGCTGGTGCACGCCAGCTTGGAGAAGCGCCCTGACAGCGAGGAGGCCCTGATCGCGTACGGGAACTGGTGCTACCGCTGGGGCAAGAAGATCGTCGACAGCGGCAGCGTGCTCAACCAGGCGGACTTGCAAGACCTCAGCCAGGTCCTGAACCTGAGCCAGCCCCTGGACGGGGAGCGTCTCAGCGAGCTCCTACAGGCGCTAAGTATGGAGCAGCCGCCGGCGAAGTGCGAGGAGGCGTGCCCGGAGGCGGCCCGCGTCCGGGACGATGAGGCGGCCAAAAAGTGCTTGCGGCGGCTGAACCTGTTGGCGGACAAGCCAACCGAGGTGCTGGACGCCGTCTTGAAGATCTGGCGGCGGGCCATCGCCAACACTTACGACTACTACAAGGATGCGGCGCGATCGTACTTCCAATACCTAATTTTGAAGGCGGGATCCGGATCTGGAGCCGCAGACGGAGCCAAAGCTGGAGCAGGAAATGGGTGCGGCTTGGCCAAGGAGGGAGAACAACGATTCCACGTGGACGACAGCAATCTGGTGACCACTACGCTGCGACTGCTCCGGCTGATCGTGAAGCACGCCAGCAGCCTGCAGGAGGTGCTCGAGCAGGGACTGCGCCACACCCCCATCGGTCCCTGGAAGGTGATCATCCCCCAGCTGTTCAGCCGGCTGAACCACCACGAGCCCTACGTCCGGAAGAGCGTGTGCGCCCTGCTCTGCCGCCTGGCGGAGAGTCGTCCGCAGTTGGTGATCTTCCCCGCCGTGGTGGGAGCGAACAGGGAGCAGCAGCAACAGGCGGCCTCCACAGGTGAGACGTCTTTGCCACCTGTCCCCTCCACGGAGGACGCCTGCTGCTACGGATACTTGCTGGGCGCCCTCTCGAAGCAGGCGCCGGAGGCGGTGCAGCACGTCCAGCTGATGGTGAAGGAGTTGCGCCGCGTGTGCCTACTCTGGGACGAGTACTGGATCCACTCCCTGGCCCACATCTACAACACCTACGTGAGCCGTGTGAACGCTTTGGCGACCGAGTTCCGGCCGGACGACCACGAGGGGAAGAACAACCGCTTCAACTGCTGGCGCCCCCAGCTCCTGGCGGACGTGGAGGCCCTTGCCGCTCTGACAGATCGCCCGCCGGAAACTTCCTACGAACGGAGCTTCCGCAAGCGCTTCGATTCACCCATTCGGGTAACTCTGGAGGCCCTGAGGACGCGGCGATACCCGGAGGCGTGGGACAAGCTGAAGCAGCTCTACCACGTGCTCCAGTCCAACATGATTCGCGGCACCGGAAACACCCTCAAGATGCAGAGCCTCAGCCCGGTGCTGTGCGGGATCGGGCGGATGCGGATTTCAATGCCAGGACTTGACGCCCATGGTGCGGACGAGGACCAGGTATACATCGAGAGCGTGGAGGGAACCGTTTGCGTACTCCCAACCAAGACGAAGCCCAAGAAGGTGGCCTTCTACGGCAGCAACGGACAGAGGTACACGTTCCTCTTCAAGGGCATGGAGGACCTGCATCTGGACGAGCGCATCATGCAGTTTTTGTCCATTTCGAACGCCATCATGGCCTGCCGGAACGACTGCCCGCCTGGAAACGGCAGCTACCGGGCGCACCACTACTCGGTGATTCCCCTGGGACCCCAGTCCGGGCTGATCAGCTGGGTGGACGGAGTGACGCCGCTCTTCGCCCTCTACAAGAAGTGGCAGCAGCGCCAAGCGCAGACTGCCAGCGGCAAGACCGGAGGAGCTGCCGGTGGAGGTGTAAATGCCACTAGGAGATTCACGGACCTCTTCTACAGCAAGCTCACCCCGCTCCTGGCCAAGCACAACCTCCAGGTGACCGATCCGCGCCGCCAGTGGCCCGTCTCGGCGCTCCGCCAGGTGCTGGCCGAGCTCTCGCAGGAGACGCCGGGCGACCTGCTGGCCCGGGAGCTATGGTGTCAGGCGGGCAATCCCGCCGAGTGGCGCCAATCGATCCGGCGCTACGCCCGTTGCATGTCCGTCATGTCGATGATCGGGTACGTGATCGGGCTGGGCGACCGCCACCTGGACAACGTGCTGATCAACCTCGGAAGCGGCGACATCGTCCACATCGACTACAACGTCTGCTTCGAGAAGGGGCGGACGCTGCGCATCCCCGAGAAGGTGCCCTTCCGACTGACCCAGAACCTGATTCATGCCCTGGGAATAACCGGAATCGAGGTGAGTCTCCAAGCTTGAAATCTACACAATACATTCTCAAATCTTTGTTGGAAGAATTGCGAAGCGGATTCGTTTTCTTCACAAACCCTTTAAAGAAATGGTTTCCATGATAGTTCCACGTAATGTGGAATCTTTTAATTCCAATCTCTCCGGGAAGACCCTCCGTCTCACCTACCCCTGTTGCTTCTGCTGCTTCGGCTGCTTCTCCTGCTGCTGATGGTAGCCCGTGGAGGACGAGGTGGCCTCCATGCGGTGCTTGCTGTCCCCTGGCAGCTGCTCCTCGCCCTGCCGCGCCGTCCGGCAGCAGAGCGTCTGTGCGAAGGCCCGCCGGAAGCCGGAGTTCTTCCAAGAGTAGATGATCGGATTGAGGGCAGAGTTGGCGATGGCCAGGGAAAAGGTGGTCTTGTAGATCATGGAGCTGCTCTGGCAGATGCTGAACAGCTGGGCGATGGCCACGCAGAAGTACGGTAGCCAGCAGAGCGTGAAGCAGCCCATGATGAAGACCACGATCTGGACACTCTTCCAGTCCGGATGGAGCAGCAGGCTCCGCATGGTGGTAGCCTCGTCCGTGTTGTAGACCACCGATTGGCGCAGGCGCTGGGCCTGTTTCGAGGCCTCCCGCATGATCCGCCAGTACACCAGGAGCATGCAGATCCATATGACTATGAAGCCTGGGGTGATGACTCCGGCAATGTAGCCCGGGGCGAGCACTTCGTCGAACTCGCAGGCTTGCGCCTCGGGCCACCTATTCCAGAAGACGGGTAGCAGCGCCACCAGGGCGCCCAGGCTCCAATTGCAGATGATGATGCTGTAGGCCACCCGTCGGGTCATGTATCTGGGGATAGAGGATTACACTATAGACTCCAGGAGATGAGGGCTGAGCTAGAAACTAGGTACCTCCGGTAGTGCAGGGCATAGACCACGGCTATGTACCGGTCCACGGCTATGGAGATCAGGGTCAGCATGGACACGCAACAGGCGCAGATGAGGAGGAAGAAGCGCAGCAGGCAGGGTGCCCGCATGGCCCCGATATCCAATCCCATGTAGAAGACCAGGTGGTAGGGCAGGGCGAGGCCCACGCAAAAGTCGGAGACGGCCAGGGAGAGGATGAACAGGTTGGAGATGACCGAGCGTAGGTGTCGGCAGGTGCGCACGGCCACGATGGTGAGGATGTTGCCTCCGAGGATGAGCACGAAGAGCACGGCGTTGATCGCCAGCCACAGGATGTGGCCAGCACTGGGACTGCCCACCCCGGACTGGGTTTGGGCTTCGGCCGTGGAGTCGGAGGTGGCGGCGGAGGACCACAGCTGTGTGCTCTGGAAGTCCCAGGTGGGGGGTGACGTCGAACTGGAAACTTCCATGGCACTCTGCATTAGCGAAGCGCACGCACTGCCCGTGGATAAGTTAATGCCGTTGTCGGATGGGGTCCACGGCTTCGACCGAACCCACCAAGGACTTCGGCTCCCCTCGGGCTCGCTTCGGCTGGATCGTGGGCGTCGTTTGTTTACGTTTCGCTGATGATTCTCCACCCATTACCATTAGCATTACCGTTCCCCCCAGCCCTGCCTGGTCCTGGTCCTATTCCCACTCCCATTCCCAACCAGTTAACTGATAACTGATAGCAGATCCAGCGTGAGAACCACAATCCGTCGATAAGCCCGCCACTTACGGCTCCACCATGCCAGGTTTCCACTGCCAAACGAACCGTGTGGAGTGCTCGGCCAAACAGATCGCTGGGGGGTTTTAGTAGATTAGCCCGGTGTCCGGACCAAAATAGAACGATAAAGCCAAAAATCCAGGGGCAGTAACTGCCATGCTCCTCCATGCTCCTCCATCATCCCAGATAGTTATCTCTTTATTTGTTTATTCGCATATTGTTAGTTTAAAATTAGCAACAGCGTAAGGACTAATGGAGAAGCAGTCGTGGGAGGCCAGGAGGTCAGACCATAGAGATCAAGGAGTAGGTTGCAGGGTGAAATCGTTTCGGACACTCTCCGAGATCGTGTCCAGGTCCGTTCAGGTCGTGAGACCCGTCAGCTAACGCCACCTGACCATCTCGCATAGGTAGGTTGGGGGTGCCCCCATCCCAGAGAGCTTATCGCATAAATTACGTGACAATCTGCCAGTGTAAACATCGATTAGAGGCGTCTATTCCCTTTGAGGTCGTATATGTCGAACATGGTTATGGTTCTGGTTTCTGGATACCGTTTTGGTTCCTGTCCTGTCCCGTCCCTTCGCTAGTCCAGGTTGGGATTTATTACGATTGTCAGATACCAAGTACAGGCCGTGCTATCCGATGGATACGCGTATTTATGGAGCAATTGCCCCATTTATGGACAAAGATACACAGATCCGCACTCCTTCCCTTCTCCGGTTTTATGCCCCATGGAATATTCCACTTTACCGTCTAACTCTTCCGCAGGGTTCCTTCCGGCTTGGCTGCGAGTACGTGCTGAAGGTGATGCGCAAGGAGCGCGAGACGCTGCTGACCCTCCTGGAGGCCTTCGTGTACGATCCTCTGGTGGACTGGACCGTCAACGATGACGCCCAGGCCCTGCGAAGAACCTTGAATGGCAAGCAGCCGCAGGGAGGTGGAGGAGCAGGAGCTGCCACTGGAGAGGTGAAGTGCAACAAAAAGGACAAAAACAGGAACAAGCCGCACGACTGGGATGCCAAGCGGCAGCACTTCGTAACCAAACTGGGCCAGCTGCAAAAGTTCTGGGCCTCCAACAGGTGAGTCTATAGATCCTTTTCCCTTGCCAGTGTCAGGAAGATCATCCTTTTCCTTCCGCCAGGGACGACATGCTCTTGCAGCTGCAGGAGATGGAGCTGGAAATAGAGCAGTTGCAAGCAGCCCAGAAACGGCGCATGGCCACCGAGCAGGAACTGCAGGAGGTGAATCAACGCAGTGCCCTCATCGCGGAGATTAAGTCCCTGGGCACGGCGATTGAGAGCCACAGCTTCAACACGGCATCCCTGCGCCATGCGGTGCGTCGGGGCCATCTGGAGGCGTTGAGGTCCCTCAGCGTCGAGCGCCAGGCCGACTTCGCGACGGTCCAGAACCTGCTCGCCAGCTACGGCCAGTGCCTGCAGCCCTACTACCTGGCCGAGCTGCACGCTCAGCTCCTGCAATTCCAAATAGAAGCCACGGCGGCCGTGGAGTTCGGCGGCCCCGTCGATCCCAAGGCGCTCCAGATCGTGCCGGGCTACGAGATGATGCGCGTCCAGCTGGACGAGATGACCCAGCACCTGGGTGAGCTGACACTGCGCACCTCAGAGCAACTGCAACAGTACGCCTCCGTGATGGGCTTCTTCCCGGAGCAGAGCCACCGACAGAATCTGCTAGTCCGCTTCCACGACAGCTACTCCGCGTACATGCAGTTCGGCGAGGAGGCTCTGGAGAGCTCTGGCAATTCCCACTCGTCCTCCGGCTCGATCATTTGCACCGCAGACATCCTGGGCGTGGCAGAGGCTCTGGAGACTGTCTGGATGCATCTGAACTGTCAGCTACTCAACTCATCCCAGAGATTCGCCGCCAAGCAGGCTCAGGCCCAGGCGCTCGGTCCCCCGACTACGGCGCTGCTCGCCATGATCGGCCAGAGCGGATGTAGCCTGATCCTGCTGAAAGCTAGCCTGTTGCGCATCCTGGACAGAGCCGGCGAGTCGTTCGGGTCCTATGAACAGGTCGCAGTGTCCAGCGAGGACGAGGAGCTGCTCCAGCACCAGCTGCAGCTCATCAATCTGGTGCGCTCTATGTGCCATGGCGTCCTGTCTGTCAGCAACATCGGCGAGCAGGAGGCGGACGCCCATCTCGACCAGTTGGAGAGGCTGCTGTCGGCTCTGGCTCACCTGAAGTTGATCTTTGAGCACGACCTTCCGGCCAGTATCTATCGTTTGCTGATGCTCCAGCCGAACCTCGGCCAGCTAAGTGCCCTGTGTCATTTGAGCGCCACCAGCCTCGCGCAGCTCTACCTGGAGGCCACGATCGAGGATGGCAAGCAGTCATCGGACGGAGAGTTCCCCGCCGAGCGGAGGTTCCTCCTCGCACTGCAGCCCGCCTATGAGCAGTTCCAGGTGGCGGCGACCGCCTACAATGAGCTCGTGCGCAGCATTAAGCACCTTGTAGGGGACACCCGCGTCCCGCTGGTGCTGGAACTAACGGTAGGCTTAAAGCACTACTTGGCGAGACCAATATCACTGACAAGCTCTTCTTTCCATTCCAGAATCTGGCCATACTGAATACCGCAAGCCTGCTGTTGGACGATGAGTGTTTCTTCGGCTTGATCTGCGAGACCCTGGAAGCCAGTCGGAGCTGCGATGTGCGGGAGATGGCCCGCCCCGTCTTGGCACTGATCCACCGCATCCAGGCCGACAGCCTTATTGGACTTTTGCAGCCGCTGGCTCGCCACTTCTACGAATCCTTGGGCCCCCAGTGCCAGCCACCGCCCGGCGGTAACCCTTGTCTCGGGGACGCTGTCCAGTCGGACCACATGTGCGAGAGCCTCTTCCTCTCCATGCAATCGGACGGAGCTCTGCAGCAGCTGCAGTCGGAGATAGCGCTCCTAAACCAACAGCTGGAGCTGCACACTCTGGCGGCCTCCGCCCAGTACTGGGCCTACGCAGAGACGCTTGGAGGAAACCAGATGCGCTGCGGCCACCACATCATCCGCCGGCAGAAGCTCGCGGCTGCTCTCGGGGAGAACTGGCTGGAACTGGACACGGGGCTGCAGAGCCTACAGCGGCTGCAGATGGGCCTGGACACCCAGTTGGGTCAGCTGCAGTCCCAGAGAAGCAACTGGAACCGAAACCACATCGACAGCCTAATGCGCACGGAGCAGACGCAGTCGGCTCGTGTGAATGGCCACCTGGCCGTGATGCAACAACTGGCGGAAGGAGCCGGCGCGGTGTGTCGCCTGGAACAGTATCCGGGGGCGCTCGGTGAGGAGGGTTGTGCCCTAGTGGAGCTCTTGGAGCAGTGGCTCGCTGTCCACGGACAGTGGCAGGCTAGCAGCGCGCGGATCAGCAGCGTGGAGCAGGCTGTGGTGGAGCTACTTGACCCCGAGGGTGCTATCGACTCCGCCTGGCTGGAGGACGTCCAGGGACTACTTGAGGAGCACACATGCAAGGTGCAGCGGGACTTGTCCGCGCTGGAGTGTGAACAGCAGGCCAAGCACCGGTTCATCTGCACCCTGGCCAAGGAGACACAGCGCATGCAGGAGAGCATGCCGCGCTTCCACGTTCGCACCCTGTGCGCGGACGCCCAGGCTCAGGGTCAGGGCAAGATGGTGCCCACGGACGTGCAGCTTCTGTGCGGCCATCTGCGCGACAGCCAGCGCGTGCTGCAAACGCTCTTCCATCGCCTGGTCGAGCTGCGGAAGGACCTCTGCTTCGAGCGCCTGACCCTGCCGGTACCGCTGCTCACCTCCTGGCTGCAGCAGCTTCAGGAAATCCAGAAAATGGCCCGAGGCGAGGTGAATGCATTTTTCAAGAGCATGGACGAATTCCTGCAACAGGCCACCGATGCCCAGACAGAGACCTACGAGACCTTCGCCCACTGCAAGGGTAAGTGCTATACTTGTCTCCAGTGAATCCTATTTCCAATCTCTATCTAATCCGCAGGTGGAAACAATCTTAATGAACAGAAGCGAAATGCCTACGGTGTGTCCGTGTGGAAGAAGATCCGCATGAAGCTGGAGGGGCGTGATCCGGACGGCAATCAGCGCAGCACTGTTGCCGAGCAAGTGGACTATGCGATCCGCGAGGCCATTAATCCGGATAACCTCGCAGTGCTCTATGAGGGTTGGACGCCGTGGGTCTAGTGCGTACATGTGCTCGGCCGCATTTTGGGCTTCTGACATCAGCATGCAGCAGGACGCAGCAGAACATATTGGGGGCGCACCTCCTCAGGAGCAGATCTCCCTGTTGGGATCTCTTTGTTATTAAGGGATCCAGCAGCCTGGCGGTAGACGACAGGCTACATGCGGCAGGCGACAGACGGCGGAGAACGGCGACGGACGACGGACGGTATACGGCGGACAACCCCAATATCAACGACCCAGTGTTGTTGTTGCCTAGGCGATATAGAAGACGATTTGACGAGAGGATACGGATACAGGACGCAAGCGAACTGTAACAAAGATCGCCTCTAGAGCTTTCCTGGTGTCTGGCCGGGAGTTTTGTGGTTGCAGCAGAAGGAGCAGCAGCAGCCGTAGCTTTAACTGTGGCAGTGCCAGATTCCTGATACCAGCTCACAGCTCCCGGCTCCCGGATTCGTCATCGGGCTCGACCCAATCATAGATTTCAGTAACTTCCATTAACGTTCTCCGGTCTCTGGTCTCTCGGATCCTTGCCTTTGCCTTCGATTCGATTAGAGATAGATTCATTTACGCCGCACCGGATCTGTTTCTCTTCCCATTTGTAAGCGTTAAGTCGAAGCATTTTTTTTTTATTTACCTAAGTGCTAAATTCGTACCGTATAAGCTGATTGAATTTTTTTTGTTTCCAAATTAGCTGTACCCCCACCCCATTAAAGATTATACACTTATGCAACTCCATATCCCCCCCTCTCGATACACACACGATATGTATGTAGCCGAAGCTCACACGCGATGCTACTCTCCCTTCTCCACGGACTCCATCCTGGACGGGTGGTCGCGCCCCCCTTGTACTTTTAGTTTAATGCTTAATTAATAAACGGAATGCAACTATAAACATTACTTGCCCTTTTTTTTAACCAGGTTGGGTTACGTTAAAAGTGGGGTGCTCTTCTTGAGAAAGTGCTTGAGACACGTTTCCCAGAAAAGGTTGAGTTCTGCGTCATCAGAAATCGGGAGAAGGTTGCGGATTTTGGACAAAAATAATATATAAAAAAAATATGGATACCATTTTTCCATTTTCTAGACTAAATAAGCTACATCTCGGCCAATACTCGACAGATCCTGAAATGGTATACCTTCCCGGTCTCAGAACTCAGAATAGCATCGTTTTCCATCATAATCAAGCTATAAAATTTTTTAAAAAAAATTTCGAAATTTTTCCAAGGTACCATCAGGATTTTTGCCAAAAAATTGACCAAAATTTTTTCCAAATAAAAATTTTTAAATTTTGATGAAGATTGAAGGAGAATAGAAGGGTGATTCACAAATGGTATTCCGCTTTGGAATCGGTTACGAAATGACTGAAATATTTGAAAATAAGTGCCTTAAAAAGTCGGATTTTTGAAAAATAAAAAACCCTCAAAAACCTGATTCCAATTTTTTCCTTTTTATACCCTTGCAGAGGGTATTATAATTTTGGTCAAAAGTGTGCAACGCAGTGAAGGAGACATCTCCGACCCTATAAAGTATATATATTCTTGATCAGGATCACCTCCTGAGTAGATATGAGCATGTCCGTCTGTCCGTCTGTCCGTCTGTCCGTCTGTCCGTCTGTCTGTCCGTCTGTCTGTTTCTACGCAAACTAGTCTCTCAGTTTTAAAGCTATCGTCTTGAAACTTTGCACACACCCTTCTTTCCTTTGCACGCAGTATATAAGTCGGAACGGCCCGGATCGGCCGACTATATCCTATAGCTGCCATATAACTGATTGATCGGAAATGGTATAACTTTGGTGTTTTTAAAGTTAGAGAGTTCAAATTTTAGGTGAGAGCTATTTTTGGCAAAATAATACGACATGCTAAATTTCGTAAGGATCGGCCGACTATATCCTATAGCTGCCATACAACTGAACGATCGGAAATGACCCAACTTTCGTGTTTTTGAAGATAGAAAGCTGGAACTTGGTACAGATTATATTTTTGGTCAGTTAATTCGACCTACAAAATTTCATTAGGATCGGCCGACTATATCCTATAGCTTCCATATAACTGAACGATCGGAAATGACCCAACTTTCGTGTTTTTGAAGATAGAAAGCTGGCACTTGGTACACATTCTATTTTTGGTCAGTCAATCCGATCTACCAAATTTCATAACGATCGGTTGACTATATCTTATAGCTGACATATAACTGAACGATCGGAAATGGTATTTGGTAGAAATATCAACTTTCGAATTTTTGAAGATAGAAGCTTGGGACTTTTATTTAGATTCTTTATTGTAATTAATTGGTTTTATTATGATGTAATCATAAGGATCGGCCAACTATATCCGATGTTTGCGATATATATCCGGTTATAGCTGCAAGGGTATATAAACTTCGGCTCCGCCCGAAGTTAGCTTTGCTTTCTTGTTTTGAAAGGAAAATGCCTATAACTCGGCCAATACTCTATAGATCCTGAAATGTTATACCTTCCCGATATCAGAGCTCAGAGAAGCATAGTTTTCCATAATAATCCAGCTATACAATTTTTGAACCAAATTTCGAAATTTTTCCAAGGGGTACCCTCATGATTTTTGCCAAAAATTGACCAAAATTTTTTCCATTTCAAATTTTAGAAATTTTGTTGCAGATTCAAGGGGAATAAAGGGGTGATTCACAAATGGTATCCTTTTTTGGAATCGGTTACGAAATGCCTGAAATATCCTAAAATAAGTGCCTTAAAAAGTCGGATTTTTGAAAAATAAAAAACCCTCAAAAACCTGATTCCAATTTTTTCCTTTTTTTTAAAGGAAAATGCCTATAACTCGGTCAATACTCTATAGATCCTAAAATGTTATACCTTCCCGATATCAGAGCTCAGAGTAGCATAGTTTTCCATAATAATCCAGCTATAAAATTTTTGAACCAAATTTCGAAATTTTTCCAAGGGGTTTCCTCAGGTTTTTTTCAAAAAATTGGGTCCTATTTTTTTCACCCAAATTTTGACAGCGGATGATAACTCTCAACACCCTAAGATCGGGAAGGTAAGATATTCCTCCATAGGACGGAAATTGGCCGAGATATCAGCATCCAAAACTTACGATATTCGTGCTGTGGCCCGAAGAACTGAATAGATCGGATAAGATTTAAAGTTGCCAGGATTCTTTGCCATATAGTACTCCATTTCACAATGGTCCAATTAGGATGTCTTGTCCAATTGGGAGACCCATCCTTATATAAGCCCTAAGCCATAATCATTTTACAGATACCAGATACTAAAGCCAAAAAAGTGATATTGAAATGTTACGTTTATCGCTTTTATTTTGTCGTTTAGTTTAAAGAGTGAAATCAGTTGTATCTTCAATCGCTCAATGCAACGCTATTAGTTATACAGTTACAATTTACAATTAAAGTATATAATTTACAAAATAGTTCTTACGTGCTGCGCTGCCGCCGCCGACGGTTACTGCGGTTGCTAAGGAAACTTTGGCGGATCATCGACGCAATCCCCGATCTGTGTATCATCGATGAGCAAGAATAAAAGTATATATATGTAGGTAATGTAATATGTAGGTAAATGCCCGGGCGCACAATGGTCAGGCCATGGTCGTGTCCTGGACAAGAGCCAGAGTCCTGCCACCGTTGCCGCGGTTCTTGAACCAGTTTGAAACTCTTTACATTAATCATAAAAGTAAGGAGGGGGCGGGGGTTGGGAAAAAAAAAAATATAAACGTTACAATACACCCGATTTGCCCTAAACTTTCTCGTTTGACCAGAACTTCACATTGACGAATTACAAATTGTGGCGAATATTTCAAATATTTCTCATTCGATTTCTGTCAATTGCATAATCTTTGCTTAACAAATCTTATGTTTAACAAAAAAAACACAAACAAAACGTTGATAACAAACAGGGATACAAAATGTTTGAATAACTTAAAGTTAAACTAGCCACATCATACATACATATAATTGGGTGCGATTGTTAAACAAATCATCTTAAAAGTAACACCGAATGTAGGGGAAAAGTGTGGTTTCCTTCGTTACTTTTTGACATTTCTTATAGATGTAAGAGATGTTGCGGGTGTTTCTGTTTTATGTTTTATGTTTTGTTTTTTTTTGGTTGCTTTGCTTTTCGTTTGTTTCATAATTATATCATAATTATTATAGTATTTTTTTGTTATTGTTATTTTTGTGTGATCTTACGCGTTGTGTTCGTTATCTTTCATTTTTTTTTGTTTGTTTTTTATCCTATTTTAGTCCTGTTTAAAATAATAAATACATACATATACATTACAATTACAATTACATCATTATCGTACAAAATATAAAATTTAACATCACATTGGTTGACATTCTTTTGTTGGTTGGTTGGTTGCTTCGCTTTTACACTCCTTCCGTCATCATATTTCCGGTTGTTGTGGTTGCTCTTCTTTTAGTTTTTGTGGGTTGGTTGATTTCGCATTCAGTTTAGCATTGTAAATTAATTTCTTCAATTGATTTATGTGTGTGTGTGTTTTTGGGTTCCATTAGCAGTCGGTCGGTAGGTCAAATGATCGAAGTCCCGATCACACGTTCCACTCCACTCTCTCTCTGTTTCATCCTTTTTAGCCTAGCCTCTCCGTCACCGTTTCAGCCTGTGTCCTTCCATCCAGTTTTCATCCTTTGTCCTCCTTAAGCCAATATGCGTTGTTGTCCAGTGGAATTGCTACAAAAATGGAATACACTTTCAATAGGTTTTCCAATGGCAAGGGCCAAGGGCATCCAACATACATGCTGCAGGTTTGATCTCTGGGCCTGGGGTTCAGGACGCACCCATCCTTCTCTCTCTCTATCTACACAAACAACGGGCCAGGAAAAACTGGAACTGGAACAGGAAACAAAAATGCACAATGGGCATTAGAATCGATTTTATCAAAGAGGAAGTGCCAGCCTACAAGCGTACCTCACCTGGAAGGGATTACTAATCTCCTGGATGCTCGGGACAGGAGCGGTTCACCTCAAACCAACGGTCGATGCATCTGCGAAGTGTACAGTATGAGAATTCAAATTAGCAACGCTAGAAAAATGCTCAAGAAACGCCTCATTAAATGTAAACGTTTATATTTAGATTGATTGCCACAAAGAAACGAGTTCGAGGGTCGAACTACTGGCGCCAGTATAGGAATTTTAATGTTATATACACTGTAAGTCAACACTACTCATAATCAATAAAAGTTTCTAGCATAGAGCTTGTGAAAATATAAGACTTACCCCTTGTGGTAGATGCAGAGACATGGCAGCCGGGCAATGGTGTCGCCGGGACTCAGGTCTTCAAGGCAGATGACGCACTCGCCCTTGGCGTCCGACAAAACGTCCTCTGAAATGCAGACATGAAATGGAGTAGGGCTAGAGTCGGGTTTTGTTTAATGGAATGCGCCACTGGACTATGGACGCTTTAGAGTAAATAAACAAGCCATAGGCATGGGCCAGGCACATCGGCATACCGTTATATGAGAGTCGCGGTTTCGTTAGGCACATGACTAAATGGCATTCAATGTCGTCCGGCAACACAAACTTATTGCACACGGGGCACTTGATACCTGCAATTATACCCGATAATTGAGTGTTTAGATTCGGACTCGAGGAGCCCCCAGCAACGGCACTCACCATTGAAGGACCAAATGTGCGATGGAAGCGAAGTGGCCGTGTAGACACGTCCGATCTCATTGCCGGATGTGGCGGAGGCGGCCAAGGCGATGCTCTCGGCGATGTTACTCCCGGTTATGTCCTGCGGGATGAGAGAAAAGGGTCATTAAAATGGGGGCTTTTTCAGCACAAAGGCATAATTGGTTTACCCTTATTGAGTCGCCAAGGGTGCGTCGCTGTTGCATGTAGGACTGGGTGGCGGATCCGTTGTTATTTCCGGCTGCCGGGAACCCATAGTTGCTGTTGGCACTCGCCGACACGGTTACCGCTACCGCTGTATGCCCATGTGGATGCGGCTGCAGGTGCTGGTGCGTCGGGTGACCGCCGTGGGTGTGGGCGTGGGGACTGCTACCAGAGGAGGTGAGCGAACCTTGTTGCTGGGCAGCCTGCTGCTGCTGTTGAATGTCCGGCACGGAGCTCAGGCTACGGGCCCTCTGTCGGTCAACAGAGGTGGAGTTCTGATTGTGGTACACCTGGAGGCCGGGCAGCGTGCGCAGCAAATTGAAGCCCTGACCGGCATCGCCGCCAGTGGAGGTGTTAGTAGAGCCGCCGCCACTACGACTTGTGGTCACATGGGGAGCAGTCGGCTCCGCCGCTCCTGTTGAGCTGCTGGAAAAGGTCCTGGAGCGTGGGCTCTGCTGGCCGCTGGTGGCTGGCGTGCTCGCCTTCTGACCCATAGAGGAGCTACGGGTACTGCTTCAGTGCGCAGTCCTGGCTCCCAAATGCCCCTGGAGTTCTGCGATTTTCGTTTGGTGGGTTGGAGTGGCTCCTGCCGATAGTGCTACGACGACTCCCACTCCTCCGACACCTCCCACTCGTCCTTCTCCTTGTTGGCCCTCTTTGTTTGCTCCTTCGGAGCGGAGCAGACAACAATAGCAAACAATGATGCGAGGCGGATGATAAATGCGGTCGGATGATAACTCTGCGAACTGGTGTGTGTCTGTGTGCCGCGTGCGACTGTGTGTGTGTGATGTGTGTGTACGAGCGGGTGTGCGTGTGTGTCTGTGCCGAAAGTGCGGGCAGGTGGCGGGTTGCGGGTGGCGGGGGGCGAGCCTTAATCGGTCGGATCGGTCGGTTTAGGGGTCGGTTTCGGTGCGTAGTTGATTGTTATTATTGTTGTTATTGTGGTTGCTGAAACTACTCTGCTGCCACTGGCCACTGCAACTGCAACTGCCGCTCCGCTGCTATCCGCTAGCCAAAATATGTGCGACGCTATTACACTGTCAATTTAAAAATGACCGTATCCCCTCTGCTCAGCCGTGTTTTTCGTTTTATGTGTACAACTTTTTTTTAATAAAAATATAGAGGTGGTAGCAGCTGGGTCACGAGCTGGCTAGCCGTAACATCGCCCATCACTGTAACTATCGCGGTGCGACGCTTCTGTGCTTCTTCTTGAATGCGAAAGCTCCACCACTTTTTCAGCTTTTTTCGCGGAAAAAATTCAAAATGCTACCCATGCATGTACCACCCTCGGCCTGAAACTTGTAAAAAACCCCCTTTTTCACATAAAAATTCCAATAAAGTAGTTTAAAGAGGATGCAATGCAGCATCTGTTTATTTCATGTACTCGTCTGGAACATTCGTTGCGCAGATTTAGCCACCTCGTGTTCCCGTGAAGCAGTTGCAGGCCTTCTTGGCCAGCTTCTTGCAGAGAAGCCACTGGCGCGCGATTTCTCGGTACTGCATCTGCAAACGCACGATTTCCCGCTGCATCTCCTTCAGCTCTTCGTCCATTAAATCTGAGTAGCGGGTTCTCATAGGAAGAGCTCCCTCCTGATTCTCATCAGACGACTCCTCAGTATTTTCGTCCGAAGACTCATCATTTATTGGCTCAGGTGGCTTCACCGGGTTCTCCTCGGTTGGTCCATCAGTTGGCTTTGAGAGTTGGTCCTCGGTTGGCCCATCAGTTGGCTTTGAGAGTTGGTCCATGCTGATTCAACAAAAAAAAACTTGAAGAAAAGAAAATTTTTTGATGCCCAATATATTTGGAGAGTTGCTTCGAGACGTCCGTTTCCTTCCAGGCCAAGGCAGCAAAAGAACAATTCAGGCGTCCCGTTCTTTGATTGGCCGTTTCAACGACGTGAACTTAGGTTCGCTTCAAAAATGCTTAGCTTATGGCAATGCTGGAACGTATTTCGCACTTTTTAACACTTCTTTTTATTTTCTTAAATTTTTTTTTTGTTATTACTTTTCAGCACTTGCAATCTGTTTGCGGTGTCAATGCCCGCCCATTTTCAAAACTATTTGGTCGAACCTTGTATTTACATTTTAATTTTTGTAGTCGCACAGAAGTTATTACTTTAATATATATTTTTACTCACTTTTGAGTTTAACTTTTGCTTTGAACTTCGATACCGTTGGTGTGAATACGCCGTTATCGATAATTTCATCAAAAAAAAAAAAAAATACCGTGAAATACTAAAACCATGTAAATATACATATCATGTAAATATCATGATGTAAATATATCAACTTGATAAAACGAGTATCGTATCGATATGTTGATATTTTGATTATCGACATCCCTACCCAAAACGTTTTGCAGTAAAAGCCAACGTGATTTTGCACTGGTTTCCCTATTGAGACGCGCAGTAAAGCACTCGGACAGAGTTACAAATCGGAGAAGTTGAGGGAGTCAGTCAGAAGAAGCACAATAACCATACCCAGAGAAACAGCGTAGAGGATCGGGAGGATGCCACGAGGAAAGTTCGTTAACCACAAGGGCCGCAGCCGTCATTTCACGTCACCCGAAGAGCTTCAGCGGGAATCCGAGGAGTCGGAGGAACAGTCCAGTGGTAGTGGCAGCGGCAGCGAAAGCGAAGACGAGAAGGCCGGTGCCGGAGCATCCACATCGAAGCCGAAGACAGTTGCCCAAAAAAAACCTGCCGCTAGTCGTCCTGCCCAAAAGCAAAAGCAACGCTCTGCGGCAGGTGGGGGTAGCTCCTCGGAGTCTGAATCGGAGGAGGAATCTGACGAGTCGGAAGGGGAAGCTCGCGATGCCAAAAAGGGCGTGGCATCGCTCATTGAAATCGAAAACCCCAACCGGGTGACCAAGAAGGCTACGCAGAAGCTATCGGCTATAAAGATAGATGATTCTGGCGCCGCCCCAAAGCCTGAGCTTTCGCGCCGCGAACGTGAACAAATCGAGAAACAGAAGGCGCGCCAGCGGTACGAGAAGCTCCATGCCCAAGGAAAAACCACCGAGGCAAAGGCAGATTTAGCAAGGCTAGCTCTCATCCGGCAACAGCGCGAAGAGGCGGCTGCCAAGCGAGAGGCGGAGAAGAAAGCTTTAGAGGCGACCGGCAAGAAGCCGGGAGCCAAATAAAAGCCGACCAGCCCTCAACACTTGCAATCGTATACCCAATCCTTATCCCGATCCCGAACCGAAACGAAATGGCAACCGTGCAGCAAGGGCTAATGGCAATAAGCTAAGTTAATTAACCAAGCAGGTCAGCAGGTGTGTCCATAAGAGATCCGTATCCGTGTCGATTGAAATGTCGTAGTTTTTCAAGCCTATCTTTTTGTAATTGCAAATTATATACAAATAAATAACTATGTGTAAATGAATTAGTGTAGATCTGGGGGAGATAGTGTGGGCAATCTCATGGGTTTTATACTAAATAAGTACTTTGGCACAAAGAACTCTCCTTTGCAAATAAAATCAGATCATATATTTAAACTATTTCCTGTTCCTAATTTAATCTTCATCGTAATGCAACTACATGCATGGTTAACAGGTGACAAAAATTGTTCTTATAGATGATAGCAAGATTGAAAGTTACAGGCTTTTACCAGCTAAGTTAATTCTAGTAAAATAAAAGGTTAAATGTCTAGACAACGCCCCAAACTTCCTCGAAGGCCGAACAGAGCTTGGAACACGCTATTGCTGCCGAGAGCGGATAGTTGCTGATAGAGAACAGCTCCTCCGTGTAGTCGGTCTTGAGAACGCCATGGGCAAAGGCACCAATTACCAACACCACGGGCTCGTCATAGCTAGCGCTGCCCTCCTCGCCGTGCGGCACAAGCTCCCGGCAATTGGTCATCAACTTGCCAGAGAAGCTCATGGCGTACTTTTTGCACCCAACAGGCAGGTGATCCGTAATGGGGTTCTTGATTACGCTCATCAGGCGACGGGAGGAGTCACTGGCGCGGATCTGGAACTTGTGCAGCAGTTGAACCATCAAGCCGGCGAATCTCTTGAAGGTTCGTGGGATTCTTGTCTGTGGATTGATCTCAATGAGCACGTTCTTCTCTGTCCGTACGAATACCTGCAGCAGACCAGCCCGATTTAAAGGGGAATCGAACAACATGAGAAGACATTGGTGGGTGATATCTGGACGGCAGCTGCCCGGGTCCCGCTGGTTTTTACGCATGATGCCCGCATGGTCATCGCAGTTGAGGAGCTCAAAAGTGTTGTGCACCTTTTGGTGGATGGAAATTAAGGAATGAAAGCATTCAGGATACTAGGATGCTGTCCACCTACCTTCACCGTTTCCAGCTGTGCGCCCTCCAAAACAATGATCAGTCGCTTCTCGCTAGCGTTCACATGGAGCGCCTTGAAGTGTTTCTTGTCCAGGTCGAACTCAGGATCATCGGCCTTGCGTCCTGTGAACTTACGCTTGCGGTTAATAGCCTTTCCTTGTCCTCCCATGTCTGTGTGTTTCGAAAAAAATCAAAACAAGAGCACGCGGCCAAGTAGAGTGTGGCCAGAGCACACACAAACTCACATGGATGAAAAAACGGATCACTGGTCACACTGCCGAGTTTTTTGTTTGGATTTGGATTGCGAATTGTGGCTTCGATTTTCTTTCGGGCCTATCCTGTGTCATTTTCAGAACGCCGGACAGCTGGAAAGAACGGACACGAGTCATGCAGTAAGTATGTCCGCCGGAAAATCAGCTCCTCCCATTCACACTTCTCCGTTTTTGCTCGCAGACGTTCGCGGGCAAGCAGTACGAGCAGTGGACGCCTGCCGGCTCCGTCGAATCCCCCGCCCCCACAGCAAGCCCAGCCCCTAGAGGCGCCTAAAATCATTGTGATTCACCCCGGTTCCCAGCACCTGAGGATCGGAAGGGCGTCCGACCTCAATCCGCAGACCCTGCTCCATGCGGTAGCCTACAGGCGCCGGCAACTGGAAGGCGATTGGCCGCACCACGACCCTCTGCTGCCGCCGCTGGATAACATCAATCCCGCCCGGCTTCAAGTTGAGTTCGAAGAGCAGCGACTGGCAGTTTCACGAATCCTTCAGCACTGCGTCGTGGACGAACAGAATCGCCTGCGGGTAGCTACGCCGCCGCAGCAGTTGGCCCACTTCAACCGGAGCAGCCAGGCCGAGAAGATCCCACCGCCAAACGGGGTGCCGGACGAGCGCCCTTGGCTGGACCGCGATGCGCAAAGCATCTTTGACGAGCAGATCCTCAGGCTGAGCGCCTTCGATGCCCGCGAGTACGACATCCACTTTCCCATGCAGCGGGGCGAACTGAATGTGCACAAAGAGAAGGGTGGCTCACTACAGGTAAGTCCATGCACTATACTTGCTGCCCAAACTTAATAATCAATGCTCTTCAGGCCACTCTCCAACACCTGGAGCGGATCTGGGCATATGCGCTTGAAGTTCGCCTGAAAATTTCACTTCGGGACCTGGGGACTCACTGCGCCGTGCTCGTGGTGAACGATGTGTACGTGCGGAGGTATCTGCGAGAGTTTATGACTCTACTGCTGCAAAGGCTCGGCTTCCAGCGCTGTTTCCTAGTCCAGGACAGCGTGGCGTCGACGTACGGCGCGGGCGTCGGCTATGGCTGCGTGGTGGACATCGGCGCCCAGAAGACATCAATTGCCTGCATAGAGGATGGAATTTCCCAATTGGATGCCCGTGTTCGGCTACACTACGGGGGCGGAGATCTTGATCAGGTGCTACTGATGCTACTACGGAAGTGTGGCTTTCCCTACCGGGAGTGTAATGTCCAGGACAGCTATGTGGATGCCCACCTGATGGATGAACTGAAGGAGAAATTTTGCCATTTGAATGCCAATGTGTGCGGCGCCCAGGAGAAGCACTTCACGTTGCGTAAACAGAACGGCCAGTGGTTGCGCTACACAATCCAGGTGGGCGACGAGGCCATCATGGCTCCTCTGGCGTTTTTCCATACGGAACTGCTGAATATCACCGGCCGGACGAGAGCGGTTTGCACCCAGCAGTCTGCGCAAGAACAGTATGACTGTGAAGATTGTTTCAACGGCGAGTACTTGAAGGAAACAGGCCGGAAAAATGGCGTCCGTGGTGGAGATACCAGTTTGCTTGCGGGCCCGGGATCTCTGCCAAGACCTCAGCTTCCTGTTACGGCGGACGACGAGGAGATGCTTGTGGTGGAGCCCGACGAGAGCAATAGTAACTCCCACCAGCAGCAAGGACAGCCGCACCATTCCAACAGTTGCTACCTAAACCCTCAGGGCCAAGTGCTGTCACTCGACCAGGCCGTGATCCGTTCCATTAACCGGTGCGCCAGCTTCGAGACCAAGCGCAAGATGTTTGGATCCATTCTGCTCGTGGGCAGCAGTTCCAAGCTGCCCGGCCTGACCGCCTGGCTCGAGAGCCGCATTAGCCAACAGATGCAGCCCACCGGAACCGAGGTCAACGTTTTCACCAAGGGAATGGACGCCGGCATGGTGGCCTGGAAGGGGGCGGCCATAATGTCGGTCCTGGAGAGCGCGCGGGAGCTGTGGATCTCGCAGCGCGACTGGCAGCGCTACGGACTACGCATCCTACGCGAACGATCGCCCTTTCTTTGGTGAGTGTAATGAGCGCGGACGAGACCGCACTGAGGCATTTCGAATATGATTAGGGAATTTAAAAATCGTAGCGGAAAATCGAAGAGTACAATTATATAGGAATTTTTTTAGCCGTAACCAAAGCACAATAAAGGATCCGGAATACGGAGCGGTGTGTGAATTTTAACCCGTAATGATGCGACTTTGCCAGTCTATCAGTAAATTGTTTATATATTTTATGTCTCGTTTTGTCAAATATGTTTTTATTTTGTGCTGTAATTTATGTGCATTTTTAAAAGTATCCGCGATTAGGTAAACAATTTTAGAACCCCGGCCGATAAGCTCTTCCGAGGGGGCAAAACAAAGACTTTTGTTTTGTTCGCCACTTGTTTTTGGCAGTTAATTTGCAACTTTATCATGCGATAACTGAGACACTTTGACCGTTAAGAGTAAAACAAGATTTTCTTATCAAAAAATAAAACAGAACGAATGTGCATTTGTCATAAAAATATATATGTGTCTGCGTCTATAGGTATGTATGTGTTGAATGTGTGGATCCTCTCAGGCTTTCAGGCGAGGTACTTGGGCGCACTGGAGCCCATGTAGTGATACAGATCCCCCAGGGTGGAGCGCACCAGCTTCGCCTTGATGGTGTCACGCTGGAGTCGCTTGTAAGCCTCGAACCGATGGCATCCTCCAAAACTGAAGTAGTAGTCACCGCCCTCGCTGCCAGTGATCCAGAGCAGATCGATGGGCGGCACCTCGTCCTCGCTGGTTTCGCGCTGTTGGAGAAAGTGCGTGGTCAAGTAAGCAGTAAGCAGTGTTGGGGCAATCGGCACTCAAAAATGGAAAGTATAACAATACCCTCCAAGCGAAAGAAACCATCTTTTGATATGTTTTATATGGAGATTAGATAGCTGCGATTATTGGACAAAATTACAGCGCCTCTTAGAGTGTTATGCCTTGGATTCTTAACATTTTAAAGTCCATAACTCATACGCCGTGTTGCCACACTATTGCCCCACCGTTGCCCAATAACTCACCTGGATGGTTTCCATGAGCGACTGGACCTTCTTTTCATCTAGAACCGAGGGAATGGGTCGCTTGATGACCTCCATTGGAACATTGTGGATCTCTGCTATGCCTGCCGAATGAATTGTGGTGTCCATGATGGTTCTGATTGTGCAGCTGTGTACCTGCCGGTCGGAGGGAAATCTTCGCCAGTTTAGTTGTGAAATTTCACTGTGCCCCAACAACAACAACAATGCGCAACGATAGCGGCGGAGCTACATAGTTCGGGGTTGCCACCCACACGCACAGAAAAGAGCTTACTTTGGGGCAGGGTTTCGGCTGGAGGAGTTGTGGTTACTGCGGAGACTGGATCCGTATCTGGAGAAGCGTCTGCTCGCCTGCCGAATGGACTGGCTAATGAACTCCATGGCCGCTGTCTTCGATCGGCAGAGCCGCTGAAACTCGTTTCAATGTGCACTCGAACTCGTACGCGTCGGGGCGAGGGTATACTATGTTACCGCTATATGCTTAGCAGCTGCTGCACGACCACTTTTTGTTTTTTTGCATAATAAACGCCGCTGCAGTGCCCCCCCACAAACAGCCCCAGCCCCAGTATCGCCCTTGATAAAGGCAAATGAAATCGAAATTCAAAGAATAGTAGCTGCTGGGGGGCGGCTGGGGGCTGGAAGCTTCTTCTTTGGAAGCTCTCTGATTAGCACCAAGACGCTGGGGGGAGAAATTAAAATGTCTTGCTGGTTGTTTTGCTTTGGGGCCTATCTAAAGATAAACATATACGAATTTAAATTTGGGGGCAAAGTATGGCAGGTAATTCTATTTTTGCAAAGAAAACCAAATGCTTTTTGCGCCACTTAAGTACACTAAGGTGACCGGCCTGGGTCGCCGTAACGGTCGTTTTGCAGCACTGTTTCCGTTAAGTTCAAATTCAAAATTCAAAATGATTTCGGTTATGGTTTCCATTTCAAGGTTAGCCAAATGGCAAAGCCTATGCAAAAACTAGGCCAGCTGCTATTACGATATGTTAACCGTATTCCCACAGCAGTAGCTCCAATAGAACATGTTAAATTACACTTTTATCTGGATGGTATCGCCGCAGAGTATCGCCTCCCACTCCCACTCCTCCGGCGGCTTGTCGGCCGCACAATCTTCTTCAATTAACTGCTACGAGCTGTTCGACAAGAGACAATTGCAGTGACTTACCCGAGCGAGGTGTCAACAAAAGGTAACCGATGCCGGAAGCCCATTAACAGTCACTCTTGGCCCTCAGTCGCAGATCGATCCACCCTACCTCCACCGTAGCTTTAAATTCAAAATTCTGTTAAAAATTTGTGGTTTTGGTCCTCTTTTGATTCAATTGGATGTGAGCATGAAATTCAATTTGGTGCAGACCCTGGTCTTCGTTTTCTGTCTTATCAGTGTCCAGATCTATGGGATACAAGGTGGGGATGGGGTTCTGTTGCCCCCCAGGAACTCTCCGCCTCAGTGACTAATTCCTCTCGGCCATTTCGTGATAGATGCCAGCGGGAAACGGATCGTGAGCAAGTACGAAAGGATAATGCAGATGTATCCACAACTGGCGACGGGCGGTGGCGAGTCTTCCCAGTGGCGGGCCGCCGAAAAGGACATGCGGCATCCCTGCAAGCGGGACTGCTCGGACCAACAGCCCATGACCTGCTACTACTACATGGTGGTCCACTACGATGACACCATGGCGGAGACCTGCAAACGATACCTCCAGGTGCTTTACTCCCTTCTATAAACTGTTTCGCTCCTTCAAGGATAACTAGAATACAATCCCCCCTTCCATATCGATTGCGATTCTCAGTATTCCCGGTACTTCCCCATCTCATCCCCGTTTCTAGAACTCTGCTGTGAGGTCATGCGATTAGAAAATGTCTTCAGATGTTTCTGCAGAATTTTCCGAATACGTCAGAACAGAAAACACTGATCAAACACCGATAATGGTGTTTATTCCCTCAAGTGATCAGTAACATCGCCGATAAAAAGTGTTCTTTTTTTAGAAGTTACAAAGAAAAACGATACCTGCTAAGACCACTCTCACCCCTTACCCTCTTTCCCGCAGTCCAAGTTCCGGTTCAAGCTCAGAGGAAAGGAATACCTGGATGGCATCATGCTGGCGGAGAAACTGGGACCCACCGATTGCAAGTACGCCGACGGACTGGAGAGCCAGGTGATGGTGGTGAACGGTCAGCTGCCCGGAATGGCTATCGAGGTCTGCCTGGGCGACACCGTGGTGGCGGACGTGATCAACAGTATGCACGAGACGACGACGGTCCACTGGCACGGCATGCATCAGCGGATGACCCCGTTCATGGACGGAGTGCCTCACGTGACTCAGTATCCGATCGAGGCCGGCCAGGCGTTTCGCTACCGATTCGAGGTGGACCATGGCGGCACCAACTGGTGGCACAGCCACACTGAACATCAACGAGCCTTCGGGCTGGCCGGTCCGCTGGTGGTGCGGATGCCGACTCGACTCAATCCTCACGCCCACCTGTACGACTTTGACCTGTCGGAGCACGTGATTATGATCCAGGACTGGGTGCACAACTTCGTCGAGAGCGTGGCCGAGAACATCCTGATCAACGGGAGGGGGCGGAACCTGAAGAAGAACGTCACTGCGAAGCCCACTCTGTACGCCCACTTTCCGGTGGTCCGCGGGGGTCGCTATCGCTTCCGGGTGATTTTCAATGGCGAGTAGTGAGCCGGGAAAGCCAGATACTCAAGGTATTAATCTGTACATTGTTTCAGGTGTTTCTAACTGCCCAATCAGCTTTAGCGTGGACCAGCACGACCTAGTGGTGATTTCCAGCGATGGCAACGACATTGAGCCAGTGGAGGTCCAGCGGATTATGTTCCACGGCGCGGAGCGGTTCGACTTTGTGTTGCATGCCAACCAAGAGGTCGCCAACTACTGGATCCGGGTGAAGGGATACAGCTTCTGTGCCAAGAATCAGCTGCACCAGGAGGCGGTGCTTCACTATCGGGATGCAGACCCTCGGTCGCTGGACACACATACCCTGACCTACGCCTACGATGCCCCAGGCACGACCCTCAACGAACTTGGAGACGACAACAGCATGACCGGAAGCGGAAGCGGCAGGAGTATTTCCCTCGCGGACTTGAATGCCCAGAGACAGGAGCTGGAAATACAGCCGGCGGTAACGTACTACACCAGCATGAACGCCTTCGAGGTGCGCCAGGGGGAGGGCTTCCGCTTCCAGATGGATGACATCAGCTTCAGCATGCCGAAGATGTCGCTGCTGCAGACCCGCAATCTGGGCGTGGGCCAGTTCTTCTGCAACCGCTCCCAGCAGGCGGACTTGGGATTCAACTGCCGGCAGCGGCACTGTCGCTGCTCGAACGTGATCCAAGTGCCGGCCAACCAACAAGTCGAGTTCGTCATCTACAGCCTGTCGAATACCCCGCACCCGGTTCACCTGCATGGCTACACCTTTCGTGTGGTGGGAATGGGGGTACTAGGCGAGGACCAGATCGGTCAGATTGAGCAGATCGACAGGAGAAATCCGCTGCCGCGACGCGGACGAGGTGCCCCGCTCAAGGACTCGGTGCAGGTGCCTGCCTTCGGGTACACCATCATGCGTTTCTTCACCAACAGTCCTGGCTACTGGATGTTCCACTGCCACATATCGCCGCATTCGGAGAACGGCATGGCGGCAGTGGTAAGAGTTGGCGAGGATGTCGAGATGAAGATGTGCCCTGTGAGCAACTGCGGGCTTTGCAGCTCAGTAGCGTAGTGCTTAACAAAATAAAAATAAAGTACCTTTAAGCTGGCATTTCAAACCGGGTATCTTTTGCGCCCTTCAGTGTTGGAAATGGCGGGGGGCTTTAGTGCTGGACAAGACCATGGCCCACGTGCCGGCACAAGGAAAAAGTAAATAAACCAATTTCGTCCAGGAATGCCGGTAAAAAGTGACTCCGACTCAGACTCTGAAGATGATGCCCAGCTACGTCGACTTCGGGAGGCTGCTGACACCTCTCTCCTCACGAATTCTATGTTTCAAGAGCAACCCAAGCCTGCAAAGGATTCAAATCATGAGAAACCTTCACCACAGATCGCCTCCAGGCAGCAGGATTCCGTTTCAGCCAAAAGCGAACGCTATTTGGAGGAGCAGGAGCCAGCTGCCTGTGACCTAAAAGTAACTCAGGAAATGCAAACGCATATTTGGAGCAAGTTAAGTAATATTATCCAGCAGCAAATAGAATTCTGCCAAGAAGAGCGTCCTATTGGAAGTCAGAAATCAGTTCCCGATAGGGTAAAGCTTATTTCCACTGCCGACTGCTATCTGAGTGCAGATGTAGTGATAGAAGGGCCTCGAGGTCCCCAGAAAAAGCCCATCATCACGAAGCGTTTGCTTCCTGAAGACGAATCCTCCAAAGAACAAAACACTAACTTATCCTCGATAGCTGTCAGTGGGGAATCTGTTCGTGATGGAAAGGATCTGGACTTCTGGGCTCCGAAGAAAAAACGAGCTGACAAGATATTTGAATACAAGGCCCAGGGATCCAAACTACTGGCTGTGGAACCCGCTAATGAATTTACAGAGCGCCGGAAAAAAAACAACTGGAACGAGTCCAAAATTAGCAATAGGAAGAAAAATAAACAAAAAATGTATTCTTAAAGTGTAAAGGAGTTGTTTCGCTCATTACGATTCGAATGTGGCATGGAAGGTGTTTACTACATGTCCGTTTGCATTGTCAGCGCCGCTGGTGCCGGCCACGTTTGAGGTAGAAGACATTTGACCATCTAGCAATCCGTAGAGCATCTGTTGCTGAGAGCTGGCGGTGCCACTGGAGCCCGCCGAACTGCCGCCGAGATCCTGCAGCATGTCGCCCACCATTTGGTGCCCTCCCATGCTCTGATTGCTCCCGGTAGCGCTGTTGTCAAGTATGTTGAGGAAGTCGCTGCCATTAAAGTCCTGCTGCTGTTGCATCTGCTGTTTCTGCATGCTGCTCTGACTCTCCTTCATCAGCTTGTCGTACTCCTGCAGTACGCCGTTGAACTCTCCAATTTCCACGCGATTCCTGGCTATCACCTTGTGCTTGTAGTAGTTGTGAACCTGAGTTAGGGATGTCCCCGTAATGGCAGTGTAGGCCCGCTCAAGGGGCATCAGTTGGAGACTAGTGGCATTTTGCAGCCGAGGATCCGAATCGTAGCAACCACGATACTCGCCGACAAAGCTGCGCAGAAACTCTTCCGTGGCGTCGGTCAAAACCTGGATGGCCGACTCTGAGCAGTCAGTGAATCCGGCCAGGCGCAGCATCCCGCACATCACTTTGCGGACGACCTGTCGGGAGGTACTGCTCGAAATTTCCGGATAATCCTTTGGATCGCCTCTGGAGTACGCTGTGTCAACGGTGGGCGTGAACCAGATGGGTTTCTGGAACTTTTGCTCGCTCACCAGGTCGGCGGCGTTTTCTGGCGGGAAGTCAACTTCGGGTATCATCAGGCAGGGGTTCAGCAGATAATTGGATGAACCCTAAAATGGAACAGGTTTATATTTCGGATGTTAAGCTTGCCAGGATTCCCGCATACGTTTTTATTTGAGTATGTTTCGATTAGCGACTGTAGCACCTCCGTCTGTTTCATCACCTCAATGGTCTGGGTAACCAGTGAGCTTTTCAGCTCCACGTTATGCCTGTGAATTACCGAAATATAAACTATTCGATCTGTGAACTAACTAGCGTCATTCTTTTTACCGCATTTTCTTTGGGATGTGGTCATAACTCGGGCGAGCCTCGTCAAACTTGTCTTTCTTGGTCGCAGTGTAGTCACCGTTCTCCGGCGGTAGCTGAGGGCCATCGTCCTCCAGAGGCATGGCGCCCCAGTAGTCCGGCTCCATTACTTCAGTGGGAGTCTAAACAAATAAATTGGTCAAAACAATTGGTACTCCAAAAACAAAATAAATAATCAAAAGCCGATGGCAGTATTGGAAAACGCGTATTGACTATCGATTGCCAAGGTACTCGATGCCACGGTGCCTAAAAGAGACGATATCGGAACATTAGGTATCGTAGCAAGCGTAATGTTTGTTTTTTAGGAAAGGGAAAAGATAATTAACTGACGAGGCGAATTGAAACGTCGGCAAGATAACGCAACGACGCAGACGACGTGTGGGATACTCCGGCGGATTGGCGGTGCCAGGGTACGGATTTGGCAACAAGATGCACCAGCAACACATGGACCTGCATGCGCCAGTGGACTTAAACAAGGTAAGTAGTGTCTGGAGGGGATTACCCCAAGGCGCTGAGCAAGGGCCCATCTAATGAGGGTATTGAATACTCCACAGTCCCTGGACGAGATGTCTCCGGAGGAGCGCATGCGGTGAGTATCTCTTAATCCCTTGCCGGTTTCCCAAAGTTCGTAACTAACTCTTTCACCTTCGCACCGCAGAGCGGAACACCAGCTAATGGTGGAGAAGCACCGTGGCCACGACGCCATGCACTCAGAGATGGTGATCATACTCTTTGTGACCCTGGTCATAGCCCAGATTATTCTGGTCGAGTGGAAGAAGCGGCACTACAGCTCCTACGCCTTCGTTACCCTATTGGCCATGTGGCTCATCCCGCTAATAATCTCGTGCAGCTTCGGTTGGGTGCGCTTTATCATCATCTGGCTGATATTCACTTTCATCACGGCCCTGGTGATGCGGAGGGCGACCAGCAAGCCCATCCAGGGTACAACGCCTAGGTGAGTCACTCCGCCAGTTGGCGATAAGAGCAATAATAGTAATCTTATCCATTCCCAACTTCAGGCTGGTCTACAAATGGTTCTATTTCATCTACAAGTTGAGCTATGGCTTGGGCCTGGTCGGCTACTTGGTGATCATGGCCGCCTTTCTTGGCATGAACTACGTCTTCTCGCAGCCCCCAAACGCCTGGATGGACGTTGGCCTAATGTTCTGTTTTTACGGTCTATATATCGGAGTCCTCGGCCGGGACATATCCGAGATCTGCTCCGATAAAATGGCTGCTGCCATCGGCGTACGTATTAAGCGTGGTTCTTCGACAACCGTATTATATGAAATAATTCTCTCTCGCTTCGTAGTACTACACGCCTCAGGGCATACCAACCCGACACCTGGACCAGAACGTCTGCGCCGTGTGTGGAAACCAGCTATTGGTCTCTGAAAAGGAGGAGGGCGTCATTGAGAACACTTATAAGCTGTCGTGCCAGCACGTATTCCATGAGTTCTGCATACGCGGTTGGTGCATCGTTGGCAAGAAACAGACCTGTCCCTACTGCAAGGAAAAGGTTGACCTCCAGAAGATGTTCCGCAATCCGTAAGAAATGGAAACAAGTGGTCAATATCTACTACATGTTCTCCTGTATCTCTTTTTAAGCTGGGAGAAGCCTCACGTCTTATACGGACGCTTGTTGGACTGGATTCGCTGGCTGGTGGCCTGGCAGCCGCTTATCTTCTTCATAGTACAAGGCATTAACTGGATGCTGGGCCTAGAGTAGGTTCCCCCTGGCCCGCCTTCGCTTTCCTGGGCGTCTAGTCAAGCACACACACACACAGACACATATACACACACACATTATATTAAGAAGAAGCACACACTATTATTATTACTTCAACTGCAATATTAAGACCGACAGACCAATTGGAGCACCAGCACCACTCAATCGCCATTCATTCCAATTCCAAACCGCTCCCCGTCCAGATGTCCGGGGTGCGGCGGTGCCCGAGGAGCTGAGCGGACGGCTAGCTCCACCTTTCGCGGCTAGCTTCCCAGCACCCGACCTTTCCATGGCTCAGACTTAACTCGAAACGAAAATGCAATTTTGGATATATGTATGTGTATATCTAGTATCTATATAATACATAGCTCGATGTATTTTATGTACATATGTGTGCCTGGTCGTGTGTATGTTTCCTAGGTATTATTACCAACTATAATTTCGTTATTTTGCTCGGTCGCACCGGAGCACGATGGAAACATGTGTGTGGCGGCGAGCCGAGACTCTTGATGATAAAAGCCAAATAATGGAAACCAGACTTTGCAGACGTTGCAAATCGTAAAAAACTTCAGAATTCTGGGAAATATGGGAAAACTTTCAAGAACGTTCTTTTAAAGTTTTCACAGATTTTCCTGAATTTGCATTTTTTATTTTTAGAAAATTTCTTATTTATGTAGTACGGATTGCACGGATTTATATCTGGATGGGAATAAAAGGATTTATAGAACCAAATACGGCCGTCTCTTTCGTTTTGGAGATATGTACTTTTAAAATAACAATTGCATCGCTTTATTGTGTTTATATATTTCATTCACTTAAGGCAACAACAATAACAAAATAATAGGATGTAAGGAAAGCCGAATGATCTGGAAAGAAACGAACTGCCGAGCCTAGGATTAAAGACTTTAAGTTTCAGGCACGGATAGGGGTTTAGAACGGGGGTATGGGGATATGGGGTCTGGCTGAGTGTTCCGTCGTGCTAGCACCGATCTGGTGACTAGGGAGGGATTAGGAACGCACTAGTGAACCGCTTCATACATTTCATCCGGTATGTACATCTACACCTTAGTCGTTACGTATCTAGTAGCCGGAGGCTCCGATCATCTTACGGATCTGCTCAAAGGACAGCCAGAACGTGAGCGACCATGGCGCCATACGGATCCAGCACGGCAAGAATCCCTTGTAGAGCGCCGCGAAGCCCTCCTTGGACACGGTCTGCCGCAGGCAGTCGACGGAGCCGCGGTACAATAATCCCCTGGAATAGAAGAAACCATTAAGTGGTAGACAGGTGACCCAAATCGCCGTCAGAGTCAACTCACCGGCCCTTGTCGTCGGTGGGCTGGTTCATGATGCGGGTCTTCACCACATCCGCCGGCGTACCCATGATCGCCGCCACGAATCCAGCGCACACAGAGGCCAGCACATGAACGGTGTGGCAGTCGGGCATCTGCAGGCGGTCCATGATGAGGTGCTTAATGGTGTCATAGGTGGTGAGATCGCCGAGGTTCACTAGAGCCGCTCGCTGCACATTCGGGATGCTGCCCTTCCACAATCCCCGCACTCCACCACGCTGAACAATGTTTCGAAAGGCGTGGCCGGCACTGTTGACTCGCGGTGGTTCGCCCATTAGACGCCGCCGGCCCTCCATCTGGATTTGAACCTTGACCAGGTCGGCGGGCGAGGCAAGCCATTGGGCGACGGCTCCAGCGGTCACACCGCACAAAGCTGACTTCCAAACGGGCAGCGCCTGGTTTCCATCACGGGTGAACTCCTTTCGCATCATGTCGTAGCTGCAAATCCTCACACCGCTGCGGGAGTAAGCAGAGAGGAAGCACAAGGAGGATTAGAGCGACTCGAGCAACTGGCCGGATGGCTAGTGGGCGGCAGGTGATCTATTGATCTATTGGCTAGGACTAGTATGAGGATTTTGGATGTTTTGCCCACCTATAGACGACGTGTCGGTAGAGCGCCGGCGTTACGCCCTGCCACAGCTTCAGGGCGCCCTCCTCTCGCGCAATCCCGAAGGCGGTGGCCATCATGCCGCGGTATTGCATCTGGTAATGGTAATTGTGGGGGCTTCATTGTAGTAAAAGTATCGGTATTTTCTAAAAGTCCAAAACAACATACACACATACACACACAGACACGAAGGAATAGATTATGGAAAGGTCCACCCAGAGGAGGGACATGTCAGTCACACACACAGATCACAGTTTGCTAAACACATAGTGGAAAAACATAGTCGGAATAGGGGAAGGTTAATTGGGAGGAACTGCTGGGACTGCTACGGTTACCTTTCACCCATGGGCCCGCTTATCATCTTGGTCGTGCCCACTCCGATTCCGCGTATCTCCCACCCAATCTTATCGAGCGATGGGAGCAGTGATAAGTCAGAGGAGCAGTCCCAGGTTAGTGTAAGCAGACATGTCAACAAATGGAGATGTGGGATTAGTCGGGTTACAGCCATATCCAGCAACAACAAAAACAACGACAAGCGATGCCTAAGACCAGCGATAGGGGTCGTGGTTGGACAAAGAGGATGTAGATGACAGAGAATTGGAACTGGTGAATACCCGCCCCCATCGCTGGTTCATGCCGGGCAGCCATATACTCACATTAGACTTGGTTATGGTTTGGGTTGGACTAATCGCAGCTATGGCAGCTGCCTCGCCCTGGATTTGCAGACGTGTTTTGGTCAGATCCAGGGGATACGTGACCAGCTCCGCGATGGAGGCCGCCACCACAGACACAATGTAGGTGCAAGCGAAGGAGTCCGCATAGTCATACTTGACAGGTCGCAGCTGGTTGCGTCCGCTGTTAGTGGAGGAGGTTGCGCTTGTCGAGGAGCTGGAAGCACCTATGCTCGCTGGCGACGATTCCTCTGTTTGGGAGCTGGGTGAGCCCGTTGCAGCGGCCATGGCAGCACAGTTGGAACTGGAAGATAAGCGAGAGAGCTTAGTAAACAGCTTGGGTGAAAAGGTAAACAGCAGAAAACAAACTATTGCGGGAGAGACTTTCACACGGTCGCGTGATGTTGTTGGGGTGCTTCGAACTTTCCCGAGGATTGCGGATACAATGCCTTGTGCCTTTGTGTCCGAGAATTCGCTTCCGATTCCGTGTGCGGCTTTTTTTACATAATAACGACGGCGGCGATTTTGGCAACGCTCTTCCGAGGTGCGAAAAAGAAAGAAAAACAAAAGATGCCAGTGGAATCGCTCCGAATCGCCTTGACTTGGACAGCAGTCGCGCTCTTTTTAAGCTCTCGATGGGCTAATCATGTTTGTCCACCCAGCTGCGAAGCGCTTCTATTTATATATCCTTAGTATTGTGTATAAAAAAACCTTAAGCTTATCAGCTCCTCGTCAATAAAACAAAAAAAAATAAAAACACAAAAACAAAAACACAACAGAGGCCCAGGGTTGTCACGTGCAGCAAAAGGAGCGAAAGAGTTTCGTGGCTGTCAGATTCGTTTCCTCAGTTACCTCATAAATATCAATTAAAAAGGATATATCTAATTTATAGATTTACACAATTTGATTATCATTATTTATTTGCTTTGATTATGTGAATGAAGCGCTCGTATTTGACTTTTATGAGTTATCGATAGTTAGCTGTTTCATCATCACATGGAGATCGATAGGTCGCGCGATAACAACGCGCTGGTGAGAAATGCACTAAATATTACCGCGAAGCGCATAAATAAAGTCGATCTTGTTTTTTTTATGTAAATTTTTTTTGCTGCGGCTGCGATTTTGGTAATTTCAAAATCGATGTAGATATGCAGTTTGATCCTGTTACCAGTGTGCATCTTATACCGAACATCTTCGAATTCTACCAAATCGGATGAGAATCGAAATAAGACCCCTCAAAGTCGTAAAGTCAGTCGTCTATCCGAGAATTGCACCAACAACAAACAGCGCGTAGGAATCTACCAAGAAGTGGAGCTGAAGCGAGAGAAAGAGAAGGAGAAGCAGGCGGAGAAGGAGGAGAGCGAGCAGAGGAGTGGAGCGGGGGAAGCACAGAATGGATGTTGAAATACCTGTTTTGGCTGGATATCTTAATGTGCCGACCCAAACTGGATTTTCGCTAAATCGTATCTCAAAAAAGGTATGGAATATCACGTTAACTTATCACTATATCACTATATATCCTCCCTATTTTCCCTATCGCCCCACTGAGTCTGATCTCGCATACCTAGAAGCTTTTCTCGTTAGCCCCATAGCCCTACGGCAGGATCTATGGACATCGATGCTTGCGATGGGGTGTGCCTTTGCACACCAATAAGCCTGGGCTCGGAGTGCGGGAGAGACGGCTCGAGCGGGAGCGCACGAGTGACAAGGAGAGCAAGAGCCCCAACATACAGGCGGGGACGATAATATAAGTCGCCAGCAACCGATCGCTCCAATGGGCTTTAACCTGGGGACCTATTTCTATTGATAGGAGTTCCAAGAGCTAATTAATTAAATTAATTAGCATCCCACAATGTCGTTTTTTGTTATCATAGCATAATATAATGCCCACACTACATATGTATTTCCGAAAGTCCTACTATTTCTACCGCTGGTGTGCGCACGCACAGCTGGGCCATTAATGCTTGAATTTCATGGTGTGAGCTTACATGCAACAGGAAATTCTTGAGTTAGCAATAAAAAAGGGCTAAGAGCGGGGGCTCTGCTCAAGACCCTTATGTAAGGCCCCACAATAGGAAATCTAAGCAATTCTATAAGTCGAACCAAAATGTCTTTACTGACCTCATCTCCATTACTATCCTTTTTGCAGAAGGCATGCACTCGCTATTGCCTCCTGTTCAAGGCCAGTCGCCACGGGATCGCCCGACTGGAGATGTGCGAGAGCAAGGAGGATCGCAACCCGAAAATCTTCACCCTTGAGAACTGCGTCAAGATCACCCAGGAACTGCCTCCGGAGCGACTCATTCAGATCGTCAAGCGGCATGGAACGCTCACCCTGAGCACCGGTAGCGAGGAGGAACTGAAGGACTGGATCACCGCCCTACAGACGGTGGCGTTTTGCGACACTTCACCGTCGAGTGGCAACGGCGGCGCGATCGAGGAGGACAATGACCTCTACTGCAGTTCCTTTGTGAGTTGGAATTCATTCTTTAATGGGGTGTGTCCTCTTCCCCAGCCAGTGTTCCGGCAGCACACATGTGTTTATTTTTATTGTTTTAACCTATGAGCTGTCAATAATGTACCACATTATGTAACATCGATTCCATCTTCTAACCATTCAAACCAGCCTTAGATCTCCATGTATGGTGACTGGGTATGTCCATATCTCAGGCAATTCTTATTAGATCCTTGAGAGGGATACCTTAAAAGGCTTCTACTTCGATTCTCCATCATTTTACATCAAAATCTCAAGATATAATTTTTTTTAGATTTTTTTCAAAATTTTCTGATGGACCCCCTTGGAAATCCTGAAAACCCCACTTCCTCCCACATCGATAGCCATATCTCAGGCAATTCTTATCGGATCCTTAAGAGGGATACCTCAAACGACTTCTACTTCGATTCTCCATCGTTCTGCATCAAAATCTGAAGATATAATTTTTTTTGGATTTTTTTCAAAATTTTCTGATGGACCCCCTTGGAAATCCTGAAAACCCCACTTCCTCCCACATCGATAGCCATATCTCAGGCAATTCTTATTGGATCCTTAAGAGGGATATCTTAAACGATTTCTAGTCCGATTCTTCATCATTCTGCATCAAAATCTGAAGATATAATTTTTTTTTCGATTTTTTTCAAAATTTTCTGGTGGACCCCCTTGGAAATCCTGAAAACCCCACTTCCTCCCACATTGATAGCCATATCTCAGCCAATTCTAATCGGATCCTTAAGAGGGATATCTTAAACGACTTCTACTTCGATTGTCCATCGTTCTGCATCAAAATCTGAAGATAAAATTTTTTTTCGATTTTTTTTTAAATTTTCTGATGGACTCCCTTGAAAATCCTGAAAACCCCACTTCCTCCCACATCGATAGCCATATCTCAGGCAATTCTTATCGGATCCTTAAGAGGGATACCTCAAACGACTTCTACTTCGATTCTCCATCATTCTGCATCATAATCTGAAGATATAATTTTTTTTCGATTTTTTTCAAAATTTTTTGATGGACCCCCTTGGAAATCCTGAAAACCCCACTTCCTCCCACATCGATGCCCATATCTCAGGCAATTCTAATCGGATCCTTAAGAGGGATACCTTAAACGACTTCTACTCCGATTCTCCATCGTTCTGCTACAAAATCTGAAGATATAATTTTTTTTTTATTTTTTTCAAAATTTTCTGATGGACCCCCTTGGAAATCCTGAAATCCCCACTTCCTTCCACATCGATAGCCATATCTCGGCCAATTCTTATCGGATCCTTAAGAGGGATATCTTAAACGATTTCTAGTCCGATTCTCCATCATTCTGCATCAAAATCTGGAGGTATCATTTTTTTTAGATTTTTTTCCAAATTTTCTGATGGACCCCCTTGGAAATCCTGAAAACCCCACTTCCTCCCACATCGATGCCCATATCTCAGGCAATTCTTATCGGATCCTTAAGAGGGATATCTTAAACGATTTCTACTTCGATTCTCCATCGTTCTGCATCAAAATCTGAGGATATAATTTTTTTTAGATTTTTTTCAAAATTTTCTGATGGACCCCCTTGGAAATCCTGAAAATCCCACTTCCTCCCACATCGATGCCCATATCTTAGGCAATTCTTAGCGGATCCTTCAGAGGGATATCTTAAACGATTTATAGTCCGATTCTCCATCGTTCTGCATCAAAATCTGGGGATATAATTTTTTTTTGGATTTTTTTCAAAATTTTCTGATGGACTCCCTTGGAAATCCTGAAACCCCCACTTCCTCCCACATCGATAGCCATATCTCAGGCAATTCTTATCGGATCCTTGGAAGGGATACCTTTAAAGACTTCTACTTCGATTCTCCATCATTCTGCATCAAAATCTGGGGATATAATTTTTTTAGATTTTTTTCGAAATTTTCTGATGGACCCCCTTGGAAATCCTGAAAACCCCACTTCCTCCCACATTGATAGCCATATCTCAGGCAATTCTTATCAGATCCTTAAGAGGGATATCTTAAACGATTTCTAGTCCGATTCTCCATCATTCTGCATCAAAATCTGGGGATATAATTTTTTTCGATTTTTTTCCAAATTTTCTGATGGACCCCCTTGGAAATCCTGAAAATCCCACTTCCTCCCACATCGATGCCCATATCTTAGGCAATTCTTAGCGGATCCTTCAGAGGGATATCTTAAACGATTTATAGTCCGATTCTCCATCGTTCTGCATCAAAATCTGGGGATATAATTTTTTTTTGGATTTTTTTCAAAATTTTCTGATGGACTCCCTTGGAAATCCTGAAACCCCCACTTCCTCCCACATCGATAGCCATATCTCAGGCAATTCTTATCGGATCCTTGGAAGGGATACCTTTAAAGACTTCTACTTCGATTCTCCATCATTCTGCATCAAAATCTGGGGATATAATTTTTTTAGATTTTTTTCGAAATTTTCTGATGGACCCCCTTGGAAATCCTGAAACCCCCACTTCCTCCCACATCGATAGCCATATCTCAGGCAATTCTAATCGGATCCTTAAGAGGGATATCTTAAACGATTTCTAGTCCAATTCTCCATCATTCTGCATCAAAATCGACAAAGATATATATATTTTTTTAATTATTCTGACGTCCCTTGTCCCGTGATGGTTTATTTGTGAATCTAAAATGGGACATTTTTGAATTTAAAAAGCGGAAAACAGCCTCAGAAGATGGCTCGTCGAGCCGGACAGCAGCGGTTATCCGGATGGTGGATGCTGCGAACGGTGAGGCAGTGCTTCGGTCCGGTGGTTTGAAGCCACGCCAAGTACTTGACAAAAGAGTCGTAGCTCAGGAACTGGATGCGCCGACAAGCTTTCCCGTGATGGTAATGCGACCGGGGATCAAAGATCCAATTCCGGCTGGTGTTCCCACACCTTCCCTGGTATTTGCTCGCGGCGACGTCACTGGGGGAAAAAGGGGGTATCTCAAGAGGGATTCCCGTACCAGTTACCCAGGGAGTACTCACATTTCATCAAGCGTCAGTAAGGCTCGCTTGCGGATTTCCGGCAATCCGGCCAGGAATCGGAGTACTGGCGGCCCATCTGTTCGTCTCACCAGCGAGAAGAGGAACAGGAAGGGCATATGCTCGAACCGCACTCCCTTCATGATCTCCGCAGCGTGGCACTGCCGTTCCGGCCATTTGTAGTCCAGCCAGAGCACGGCGGCCATGTACACCTCCATCTCCGAGTTGACCGCCAGAGAGTCCATCGCCAGCAGTCGCTTTACGGTGGCAGCTTCCATCTGCTTGAACTCCAGACTGGCCGCAAACTGTAGGAAGATTGTCGAAAGTGGCCCGAGGAGATTGTCGTCCAGGTAAATCCCCAGAGTAAGGGACCGCTGGTACAGGGCCACGGCCATAACAGGATCCCGGGTAAGCAGTCCCATGGCGTTCCAGATATCGGCCACCAGTTCCGGGCAATCGAAGAACTGGGCTGCCCGCAAAACATGAAGGAGATAGTTGGTAGACGTTTGGTGGATCGGCTCCAGGGCCCATCGGTACATGGTCACAAAGGCGCAGGCGTTGACCATCGAACCGGGCAGATGGTAGATATGCGTCTTGCCCAACGTGGCGTGTCGGAAGAACTGCGACACCAGCTGCAGGACAATGGCGTGGCAACGGAACTGTTTGTTCTCGACCACCACCACTAGAGTGGGCTTTATGTTCTGCTTAAACATGCGTAGCATATTCTCGGCGAGATTAGTGCGCTCCGGACCCCGGGACTCTTCCCAAAGCTTGTCCAAAGTCTCCGACTCGTTCGAGGCTCGCTCCAGAGTCCTCATCATGTCGTACAGCCGGATGCTAATTGTCTTGCTCGTCTCGAGAGAGGGATCACTGCTGGTCTTTAGATCCTTGAGGATGTTCTCGAAACTGCCTACCTGGAGGCTGATAGGTCTGCCCAGTGGCATTGGATGCACTTCCGTCGGAACGGCAAGCTGCTGCAGCAGAAGTACAGTTTCACTTCGAAGGGTATTTGGATAGCTGGAATCTTTTGGGTAGATGCTTTCCTCCAGATTATCTTTCTCGTCCTCTGCCGCTAGACGATCCTTCGGGCTGGGCTCTTCCTTGTCAGCCTCCTGTGTAACAGATTCAGTTTGTGGATGGCCCACTGTGGAGGGGTCCTCGTCCTTTGGGGATGTCTCGCTCCTTGGAGAGTGGAGGGAGACTCTTCTGTTCCCATTTTCGACCGAGTCCTGCAGCTCCTCTCTGTGATACGATGTCTCGTTACTCAAATATCCTAGCTCTCCACGGAGAAGTGCATCTTTATCGTAAAACTTGTCTTTTTCGGACATTTCTTGGCCTCTTCTTGAAATATATTAACTTAAAATTTGATTTTTGTGCTTTATCGAAAGTATAGATAAAACTACAGATGTAGAAACTTCTACAAAACGTATTAAAAGGAACTGACTACTGATGTTTTAGAATTTCAAGAGTACTATGAAGTGGAAATCGAAGGGTTACTTGTGAGAATTTTTAAAAATTGTAGGTTTTTTTTAAAGTTTAAAAAACTAATAGAATTCTCTTTACTTTCCCCCATAGGACGGCCTGTTTATAATCACACTGATCCCCTCGGAGGCCTCTCGCCGCTGCGGCATCGAACCCAAAACCTACATGCTCCAGATGACGCCCACTGAGCTGCAACTGAGATCCGAGGACCTGGGCACCACAATCGCCATGTGGCCGTACCGTTTCATTCGCAAGTATGGCTACCGCGACGGCAAGTTCACCTTCGAGGCGGGCCGGAAGTGCACCACCGGCGAGGGCGTCTTCACCCTGGACCACACCAATCCCCAGGAGGTGTTCCGCTGCATGTCCGCCAAGATGAAGTCAATGAAGAAGCTGATCAGCGGCGACAACAGCTCCGCCTCCCTCAGCACCTTGGAGTGCGGAGAGAACCAGTTTAGTGCGGCGGCCAATATGGAGCCGGGATCGCGCAGTCCGCTGCCTCCGTCGCCGTCGAGTAATCCGCATGGCGGAGAATTCGAAATAAACTCCACGCAGAGCGGCTTCTCCATGAGGGGATTCCTCAGCTCAAACGACTCGCTGAACAACTTTTCGGCTGCGAGCGGCAGTGCTACGCCGGGAAGCGGTGGTGCTAGTGTGACGCTGTCGGTGCCCACTGGTAAGCACATCCCCAACAAACCGCCACGAAAACTCGGAGCCAGTCCAACCACCACAGCTCCGATAGCAACGACAAACCAGCAACAACATTGTGATAAATACAGGAACATTGTGAAATATGAGCCTGTGGCCATAACGACGTCCTCGCCCGCTACCGACTCGGCAGTTATACTGAAACCCCTGGACACGTGCGATCCGGATCCGCCGCCGCCGGATCTGCCGCTGCGCAACGAGAGCACCGGCAAGGGCGGCGGAGGAGCTATGGAGCGGGACTACGAGTGTATCGAGAACATCACGGAGGCCTGGCGCACTCGGGGAGTGGGCGATGTGAGGCACTGCGAACGCGTGCCCATCCTCTGCGACACCTCGGAGTTTGTGCGCCAGCGCTCGGTGACGAAAACCCCGAACAGCACACCCAAAATAATAGACATCGACATCGGGGAGGGAGCTTCGCCCATTTCGGTGGCCGACTCCAACTACGACCGTCTGGACTTCCTCTCGCCGAACAACAAAACCTCCAGCGGATACAAGACCATTGTGAACGTGACCGTGCCGGGCAATCGCACCCGGTGCAGTCCGCCTCCGCCGAACGAATACGAGATGATCGCTAGCCCGGACACGGAGAGCTTTCGCAAGGCGGACGACAGCCATCTCGGATACGGAGTGCTCCGGAAGACCAGCACCACCACAACGAATAACAACAACCTAGGAATCTCCAACAGCAACATCATCATCAGCAGCAGCAGCGGCAGCGGCAGCAGCAGTGCCGCAACAGCGAACAAAAGCAACAGCGATCCATCAGCCACGGCCATCGACCACCGCAGCTACAATGGACTTAACTACACGATTGTCAGCAAGCCGAAGAGAGTGTAGGAGCTTTAGGAGGAGGGGGGCCGGATGCACATTTCCAGGACAGGACAGCTAGAGGTGGTGCAGTGTGGATCAGGGGGGGAACAGTTGCCGCTTTTTGGAGGGAAATCGTGTCCACAACCTAGACTATAGACTATATCCAAGTTCATTTTCAAAAATAGACTTCCCATAATCTCACAAGTCCACAAATTTAGAATCACAAGTGAAAGCTCAACGACAACGTCTCGAAATTAGTAATTTAGTAACTCCCAGGGTCTGAAAAAGTTTTCTCCATTTAGGATCTCAAGACAACACTTTCTTCAAAAAGCACAAGCACAGTAGGATGCATTCCATTGTAATAATTCCAATAATTGCACTTCGAGTTAAGACGAGACTGCCTGCCATACAGTGCCTTTATGGTTTTAAAAAGAAAAAAAAACTCAATTCAGTTCTAAATTGATTTCCGTTCTAATGTTTTTAATTCATAATCTGTGATTGTATTGTTAATATGAAGAAACTGCTTAGTTTATAGCCAGCACTGCCCGCCACTTGATCGCACTCGACGAATAAGAAGTATATATATGTTTTTTGAATTTTACTTAAAGCTTGAAGTAGAACTCGCAAGATCCCTGTGTACTTGACCCGTTTTTAAACGTATGTATGTGTTTAATATGTATTTTTTAGAAATATGTATGTAGAACAAACCGAAACATTGTTCGCCTGCCATAATCGGTTACGGATCCATTGTTATTTACCTATGAAATTTTAAATTTAATGCGATGATATAGCTGCCATCAGTAACCAATAAATCTCCCACAGCGTTAACCATACTATTGTAGTGTTTTGGGTCCAGCCCAGACTGTAATGGACCTCCCAAGTGCTGGTCATTGAACTTGCACCTTCCTCGTGCCTTGCACCGCCATCTCGCATGTGCGCATATATATTCGACTTTGAAGCCATTCTCGTTGCAAATGACATTAGTGAGCATTAAGCAAAGGTCACAAACAAAAAAAAAAGAAATAACTAAAAGCTTGATAAAGCTAAAGCCAGAGCAAACAAAAGCAAAAGTAAAGAATAAAAATACCAAAAGAAAGTTGTGACGAACATTTCACTCGAAGAATATCATTTTTTTACCTAACGTTTAAGATAATAACTATTGTAATTATTATTTTTTTGTGTCTTCGAACTATTGTTGTATAAATAAAGACCAACAAAACTCAAACAATCAAACTGGGACCTATTTTTTAATCTTTTTGGCTTAAAAAAAAGAATTTTTTAGTTTAAATGGGAGTAACGTTATTCGTAACGCGGTTTTTTCAAATTTACGAGCCCGCGATAGAGACGGTTATCGGAACCATGTATCGATACAGTTTTAGAATTTCGATAACCACCATCAAACGCGGGTAAACTTTGGCGTTTTTTGTTTGTATTTATTTTTTTTCGGAAGACCCAAAGGTACTCAGAATGCAGGCGTTTCTCAAAACAGGCAAATCCGGCACGGGCCATGGCGAGAAACAACAGGGAGCTGCCAGCGAACGGCGAAAGCCGCCAACCCTCTGGGTGGAAAAATAGTGGGTACCGCAAACTCCGCAAAGTAGAGCACATGCTGACACTTAAACTTCTTTACAGCCGTCCCCGTAGCGTAGAGGATGTGGTGGAACAGTCTGAAGTGGTGGCCGTGCTGCGCAAGTGCGTCGAGGGCGGGGACCTGCCCAACATGCTGCTCTACGGACCGCCAGGTACCGGAAAAACGAGCACGATTCTTGCCGCCGGGCGGCAGATTTTCGGAGACATGTACAAGAGCCGGATCCTCGAACTGAATGCCTCTGACGAGCGCGGCATCAATGTGGTGCGCACCAAAATCAAGACTTTCTCCCAGCTTGCCGCCAGCAGTGTGCGTCCCGACGGCAGGCCGTGTCCACCGTTCAAGATCATCATCCTGGACGAGGCCGACTCCATGACACATGCCGCGCAGTCTGCACTGCGTCGCACCATGGAAAAGGAGAGCCAAAGCACTAGGTTCTGTTTGATTTGCAACTACGTCTCCCGGATCATCGTGCCCATCACGTCACGGTGTTCCAAGTTCCGGTTCAAGTCTCTGGGCGAGGAAAAGGTGATCGCGCGCTTGAAGTTTATCTGCGAACAGGAGGGCGTCCAGATCGAGCCAGATGCCTACAAGTCCATCGTTAAGATATCTGGTGGCGATCTGCGACGTGCTATAACCACCCTACAATCCTGCTTCCGTCTGAACGGCCCGGAGCACACGATCAACACAGCGGATCTCTTCGAAATGTCGGGCGTCATCCCCGATTACTACTTGGAGGACTATCTGGAGGTCTGTCGCTCGGGCGACTATGAGCGGCTGGAGAGGTTTGTGCGCGACATTGGATACTCTGCCTACAGTGTCGGCCAGATGATGGAACAGTTTGTGGAGTTTATTGTCCACCACCCGGGTCTGAATGATCCGCAGAAGGCCAAGATCTGCGACAAGTTGGGGGTAGGTCCTTAACCGATAAAGCTATGGAGTATTTAATATAACGGTATCTTTCCACTTCCAGGAGTGCTGCTTCCGCCTGCAGGACGGAGCTTCGGAGTACTTGCAAATCATGGATCTGGGCTGCTGCATCATTCTGGCCCTCAAATAGGATTCATCGCAAGAACTGTTCACTCATTGAAAATGCATTTTTTTTTACGGCTGATTTTGAAAATATATTTAAAGTTAATGTTTAATCGGGACTGCCCTCAGTTGGCTATAAATTCAAACTCCTCCTCCTCTCTTTCCCGCTTCAGAGGGTTACCCGTGCTGGAGGCATTTCCCGCTACCACGCTGGCAATGCTTCCCACGGCCGCCGCATCGCTATCGACATCCATCTTGACATCATTGGACCCACTGGTCTCGTTCTTCATCTCCCCGGCTGGTGCCCCGCCACCGCCCCCGCTAGAGCCACTGTTGCTGGGCACAGTTTTGGCGGTCGTTGTGGTGAACTTGATAACGGGCTTTGTTATTGTCACCACCTGCTGCTTGTTCACAACGGAGTGAGCTCGTTTTGGGCCGTTGGCGCTGGACGCGGGCTTCACCACGGTCTTCATTGGCCGGCCCTCCAGCGCCGACTTGGTCATTTTCTTCGACTGATTGGGAGCTCTCAGTTTGTAGTTGACGCCCGTGAGGCAATAGCGGTCGGGCGGCAATCGCAGACCGCAGTGTGGTTTGATCGGGGGCAGAGGCGTAGCGTTCCGTATCTCGGCCACCTTTGCTAGGACGTGGCGCGGGGGCGGGCCGGTGAAACTCTTGTCCAGCGTCATCTCGGTGGCCAGGCGCACGTCGTCCAGGTCAATCGTCTTTTTGCGGGCATGGTTGGCATACACCTTGGCGTCGTCCAGTATGCAGGTGACATAGCCTAAAAGAGAGATCCTGTAATTTATGCGCAATTTCCGAGAAACAACTTTTTTTTACGGAAGGTGAATTCCAGCATTTGGTTGACCACGCGCGGCTCGTACTCATGGATATTCAGCTCCTTGAGGATGGACATGATCACCTGGGCATCCTTCGGCACATGCTTGATCTGAGCGCTAATTTTGGCCTTATCGGCCTTTTCGCTGCTCATTGTTTATTGTTTGTCAACTGTATTTAAATATCAAAAAATATGTCTGCACTAGGGATGGACGAAAACAACAAAACAACATCGCGGTCGTGTCACGATGGGAAGCTGGATGCGTTTACCAGCACTAATCGATAACACCGCCAACTATCGATAACCTGGAACCTGAATCTGTGTGGCAACTCCTGGTGGAGGGCTTTTGAAAACTGTTAAAAAGAGGATCATCATAATTTGAAAAGATTTCGAAAAGTACGTTTCCATTAACGCAAGAAACTTTTATTTATTAATCGTACAGCTCTACATACAATATGCACTATACTTGGAAGACAATTTGAAGCTTGTCGCGCACTTTTACATTCATATACATACATTGTACAATGAAACTTTAATCTTAGATACATATATTCGGTTTATATATTATTATTTTAGATACGCTACATGTACGCTAAGTGCTACAATAAATTAACTTTTTATTGTTTTGTCTATTTAATCAGCGTTGTCGCATACCGTCCTCCTAAGATATTTTTTTCAAAATTTCGTGCAACCAATCGCGCACCAAAAATCCGACGCCACTTTTGACTCAAGTCCCACGGTTACACACATAGGTTTATATATATATATATATATATTTATATAGTTCTATATAGACTCTAAAACTAAATTCTCGTCAAAAAAAAAAAGATGATGCTGTATATTATGCGTAATTTTAAACTTCATTGTGTCGAGCGAGCTCGTGCCTCGCTCATGCAACTCATTCGTTCACTTTCTTTACTGGGGAGGTTCCCTCCTGGTCTTTTGTAACTGCTTGTAACTCCATCCTCCTGGCTGTCCCTAGTAGTTATAGGGCCCGTACTGGGATCCGTGGTAGTAGGGTCCCGGGTAGATCTGCGGCTGGGCGTAGTTGGCGTACGGCGGATAGGGGGGCTGCTTCTGGGAGTAGACTGTGGGACGGGAGGGAGAGAGAGGGTTAGGGCTGGATGGTTGGCGGACATGGCTTTCCACTCACCTGGCATCAGGTACTGCAGGTTCAGCTGCTCCTCCTTCTCGCGCTCGTTACGCAGGCAGACAGCCGCTCCGGAGAGCAGGATGGCGGCCAGCAGACAGGTGCCGATGCCTGCCCAGGCCACGATGTAGGACCAGTCGTAGGAGATCTTGGTGTTGTCGCGGAGAACCTGTAGCGATACATTTTTTAGTTGATCCTCTAGAGCTCCTGCTGCTTCAGTCGCCTCGACTTACTGTGTTCCACTGCTGGAAGTAGTCCTCGCCCACAACCTTCTCCTTCTCGAAGAACTCGACCGTGTGCCAGAGACCCATGGCGCCGGCTGCCAGGAGGCAGGTGACCAACAGCAGGATCGAGGTGGCCGTGATGGCGCCCGAGGAGCGCTTCCAACAGCCGGAAAGCCCGGTCCAGAAGGCGCAGAAGATGGTCACGAAACTGATGATGAACAGGGCGATGCAGGAGCGGGCCAGGTGCAGGCGCGAGGTGGCGTCCTCGTTGGCGATCTTCTCGTCCTCCGCCTGGGGGAAGTAGTCGATGTTGGAGCAGTGCGTCTCGATGGGCGACAGATAGGTGGGCACTGCAATGTCGAGGGGGGGAGGATGGTGTTAAAGGCGCTCCAAGACTAGAAGCTCTGGGAGAACAAACCTGCCGATACTGGGGGCCGCTCCTTGGGGTAGCAGATGCGGAAGAGACCGCGTGTCCTGGTGTAGTAGTAGTACTTGTAGTTCAGGTTGTGCATCAGGGAGTCCGCATCCGAGTGCTTGGCGGCGAAGGCCTGTAAGAGAGGGTATTCGTTAGAAGTCGTTTCAGGTAGACAGCCTTCGCGGGGGATTAGCTGGCTGGTGCGAACACCCCACAACCGGAGCTGGCAAATATTGTCATTTGATGGAAATCGAAATCCAAACAATCCAAACAATCCCAACTTTGTATCAGATCGAAAACAAACACTAGAGATCGCCCCGCCTCGCTACGAGATCGGTAGCATTGAACCACACTGAGAGACGATGTCGATCACCATCCGGTCATCATCTTGGCTCTTAACGATATACGGATGTTCAGATATGGCTCAGTGTGGGCCGCAAGATGGCCCAGAGAGGGGTGGGGGGCACTGCGGTATCAGATCGAGTCGCATTTTAAACACGTACCGCGGTCCCCCATTGTCTGAAGCCGCAAGAGACGTTGGGCAATCTCGAGAGTGTTTGCCGCCCAAGGTCTCCGGTCTCCGGTCTCCGCCGGCACCTCGTGTGCATAATGCATGATACAGTGCGTTTCGTGGCTATAGACGCGCATCAGCATCAGCATCAGCCCGCTGGAAGATCTATTTCTGTGCCAGTGACCTTCACTCTTGATTACTCATCGCATAACCGCGTAAGTCTCGAAACTCTTTAGAATCCACGTCCGGCCATCTAGCACTTCTCTATTAGTTTGTGGCGAATCTATACCCTTGTACCCTATAGGGTGAAATCCAATCATTCCGAGCAACATCACGTTCCTCACGTTTTGGCCAGAAATTCTACGGTTTTGGGTTTTTCCAACTGGCCTGGGTTGGTCGGGGGAAATCGCGCTACTAACGAGTTTTTCTTTACGACGTTTCCACACCAGGGGGGAGAGTCGAAAAACGGGTTTTACTGTACAGTGTGTCCGGTGCTTGAACAGCTCTGGGGAAGTCAGAGGGACTTGGATCCAGCTTGTATCCGAAACAAAAAAAGGGAAATACTTCAGGGTGCATTTTGGGGATCGGGTCTTATGTAAAATTTTTTTGGCGCCTAACTGGAGTCTTGCATAACCGTCTCTGGATACCATGGACAGGGTCGGACGTTAGGGCGTTACGCCTACCAGTTTCATTTCATTTTCAGACGGGGGAACTCCCCTTTTCTTTCTTCATTCCATACCCATTTCTCCGGTTGTGAAATGTTCGCTTGATTCGCTCGACTCCGAGGTCCGAAGAGGCCGACTTGGCGCCTCTTCAGGCGGATTAGTGTTGTAACTTTCTTATGAAAGTCGCCGTCAATTAAGGGCCCCCAGTCCCCATGTAATTTGTCCGATGGTGGAGACTCTCCACTCTTGCCACGTTAGAAATGCATTCGACTATGAAACGTCGGTTGGCTGGCTGGACTAATACGCTATAGTTTACAGAAGATCATATATAGAGACTATATAGGGGAAACTGTAAAGTGAAATGAGCTTCAAGGTTCATCGGTAACCCTAATGAAATCCTAGAGCAGAGCATCACTTTCCTAGGCACATACTATTATCGCAAATTCCGATGGCAGACCTGCGGAAATATTGCAACCACCTGGCTGGCTGGCTGGCTGGCTCTGGTGGTTTGGTTTTGGTGGTTCAGTGGCTTAGTGTTTCGGTGGTTTGGTTTAGTTTGCGGCCACAGATGCGAGTGCGCCACAAATATTTTTATGACACCCGGACCGGACCGGACCGGACCGGGACGGAGCACATGCAAAACTAGTTTCTGCGCAGACCACCAGGTCCCCCTCCCGGTTGCAGTGTCGGATGTCGGTGATTAGCCAATCGGAGGGAGGGAGGAGGGTCTTGGTATTCGCTTGGATAAAACCAGATAAAGCAAACTGGATCGCGGTTCAGGATGCCAGAGTTAAAGAAGGGGGGAACCCCCACTGGGCGGCCATCTGGCGATAGAACGCCCTCAAGTCAAGGCCGAGCAAGCCAGATTCCGATCCCGGGGTGTGGCGTATCGAGTCCTAGCCCAAAATTCAGGCCATTCGGTGGGAGTCCAATGAATAATTCATCAACTGCATCGAATTCCGATGCATAGACATCGCCAGACATGGGGAGGGCAACTGGTTTCTAGTGTTTCTATTGCTGTTTCTGGTTTCTGCGATCTGTCCACCGAAAAAAAAACAACAAAGAATGCGAAAAGGTCGTGGGAGCACGACATTGAGCAGCGATTCCACATTCTCGGCCACCCAAAAGTACTTGGCCTGGCCCACACACACACAGCCCCACCAGCAATTACGGTCTAAAGAAGCCCCATTACGAGTCAACGACGAATCTATAAAAAGCACGCGGAAGTCGAATGGGGGAAAAAATGTGATAAAAAAGTAGCCATAATGGCTATGGAGGAGCCGAAACCTGAAACCAGAAATCTCAAATCTGAAGCCGATTGAATTGAAAATGATTTGTTTATTGAGCCACACGCTCCAGCTCTAGCTTCAGCTCCAGCAAAAGTTGTTTGCTTTGGGCGTTTTTTTTCTTCTGCGGAGCGTTTTTTTGGTGGGAAGCGAAAGCGTTTTCAATCGCACGCTCAAGCGGTCTCCATAATGAGAGACCTCGGAGATGCCGAGAGATCCCCATCTTCATCTTCGAAAGAATCTCGCATGCGGATAATTGCTAGAAAACCTACCTATAGCCTTAATTTTCAATTGCCGGGACCTGATTATCGACGATACACTTTCAATGGTATGGATTTTGGTGCCACAAATGGGGTCTAAACCGTTTCTTTCGAAAGAGTCTATCCTACAGCCGGAAGCGGTTTAGTATCTTTCTTTTTAGAATTCTCCCAGGCCGAAACGAATCGATTTCTATTGCTTCTCTCAGCCAGACTGACTCAGGTGACTTGACGATTCGGAATTTCTCATGATGTCAGCCATAAAATAAATAGCAATTAATTAATCTGTGATGATGGCGTCAATCTCTGTACTGGCGTCAAGGTGCACAATGCGCCCTCAAGTGTGCAGAGGCGGTGAAAAGAAATCTTCTGTCACACATGGCGTATGCGCAATTAATTTTCGCATCTCGAATTAACATTTGTTTCGTCTTTCTCCACCCAAAATGCTTACTAAGCGTAAAGGCCCATCACGAACCTGGTGCTAGTAGAGGTTTCATTCATCGTTCGGGTGGCTTATTATTGGACTTGGTATCGACTTCGGCTATATGGGCTTTTTTGCCTTGGCGACATTGCATTGCCCAAAAGCGAGAAATGAAATCGAAGAAGAAACCGCCAACATATCCATATGGATATGGCGGAGCTGCACGGAGAAAAATTTAAGAGTCGAAACAAGGGAAATTATGCTGTTGGGGCAAGGGTTTTCTCTTTTGCGCCCAAGACGAGGCCAAAACGCAGTTTCATCAATTGGGATTGGGTGCCCATACCCCTGCTCTGCCCCCCCTCACTCCTCTCTAAAAAAAAAAAAGAAACACAACAAGCGCGAGTTAGGGCCAAAACGCCAAGTGGCCAAAGCAAACCGGCCAACTATCCGCATACCAATTTTGAGTCGTCGCCACTGTTGTCGTCTCGAAAACGTGAATCGAGTGAAAACTCAACTCGGGCCCCAAACCAGTTTTGGAGTTAAGGAACGCGGCAGGGGGAACGGGGGGCATCGAGATATAGGCGTGGATACAAATCCAAAGCCAAAGCCAAAGCTAAGCCAAGCCAGCTTCGAGCGGCTTCAGGATCTCTAATTAAATACCAATGCATATATGCTATTATAGTACTATTTTTATGACCCCCACTGGGGGGGGGCAGGAGCTCCTACTGAGTTGGGTTATTAAAAAGTCTACTAATCATCCATTTTTTAAGGTTTTTGGGGGAAAGGATCTCTGTAATTAACAGTTTAGTGTTAGAAAGCGCGCCTACGAAGCCAGCTTTCCAATTAATGGTGTTGGAAAACACTTGAGGGCGAGCCCTCTTTGGTGTCCTCTTCTTCTTATACCGAAACTGCACAAGGGGAGCACTTGCAAGCGTTAATAGTTAGTGATTTTCGATCTTTAAAGTTATGGAAGTTAAAGAAAAGTGTGTTTTTCTATTAAAGGATCTTAGTATTATCTGGTTTGACTATTTAAGTAAAGATCCTCGCGTTAAAATGATCATTTTTGTGTCTCGCGTTGCTCCCCTTTTCGCGTACGTGAGTGTGAGGGAGTGCGAGTGCTCTCGTACTAGAGAGAAGGAGCGACAACATGTAAGTTTATCCTTTTCATTTATTTCTATTCCTTTTCCAAAACAACATTGTATAGATGGGTAAGAGAGGGAAGATGGTGAATTCCCGTTCCGTAACGAATTAAGTGATTCCACTCCACAACACTGTTTTGTGGCCATCACTGTGGCTTGTGTAATTTCCTGTCCAGGTAGATGATCTCGAATTACGTACCTGTTGCACCTGAGCGGTTTTTCAAAGGGGCCCTAAGGGGACGACCAAGGGGCGGAAATTGGGGGAAAGCCAGACACAAATGAGAAGGGAATGAGAAGGAAAGAAGGAGAGCAAGTGCCGAAAGACGCGATAAGGGAGGTCAAGGCAGATGAATGCCCTTCTGTGGCGATTAGTTCTAATGGCTTTATAAATGCCACCACCACCAAATCGCTTGGAAATCGTTTCGAAAACTCAAGGGAGAAAGACTCGACTCAAGGGAGAATCATCCACAATTATTGCCGTTTCATAGCCCCCCCCGTCCCCACCTATAGCTTTCGGATTAGACCGCACCCGGAGGGGGGAGCCACAAAGTCAAAAACGTGCAAATATTTTCAGCACACTTTGAGTCGTTTTCTTCCTCTTCTGTTTCGCCAGTGCGCTAGTGTGTGTGTCCAAAGGTGACTTGTTTTGGTATGTTAGGTATGCTGTCTCTCTCTCCCCAGCCAACTGTTGCACATTTTTGGCTGGAGTTCATTCGGCCACGATCGTACACGTTAATTAGTGAATTATATTGTTTACTTTCCAAGGTTTATAAAGTGTATTTTTGGGTTTCATTTTGGGCCCTCTAACCAGTTTATCTTAGGGCCTGTGGGCCTGTATTCTCCGTTTGCATTCAAAGATTGCGATAGGTCCACCTTCTCCCCGCTCCTTCTCCTACTCTCCAAGCAGCTCGTCTTTGGTCTCTTCTTCGCTCTTTTCTGCCTGGGCCGCCGCCAGTCTTCAGTCTTCGGTCTTCTTCTTGCCCATTCATCGCGTTTGGCTTGGCTAAGCGCTCCGTTGGTAGAAAGTTTCAACGTTATAACGTTAACGGCCGTTGCCCACCCTCCCTGCACTCCCTGCACTCCCTCCCTACCCTACCTACCCACCCACCTGCCCCTGGGCTCCCTCCGGGCCAGTTGTTGCTGTGTTTGCTTTCGACCTTTCTTCTTTCTCCTTTCTTCTTCTCCGCCATGCCCTTATTTTCTTTTGGACACAAGCACACAAAACGAGCGGCTGTTACTGTTACCACCGTTTGTTGGCTTTGTTGCTGTTTTGATGCTTCTTCTTATTAGTCCATGGCCCACAGTGGGCCACACACACCTGTTTATCGTGCACAAACATGCACAGGCATGCATGGGGTTTACTTAGGCCTCCAGATATCAGTGATATCTTTCTCAGAATGCATCTGGATTGAACAAATAAAGGAATTCCCCAAAATAAGAGATCTCCTCTTTGGGGAGACTTCCAGGGACTTGGACCAAGTCCTGTAACTGCTTTCTTCAAACTACAAGAGGTCTCAGGCTCTCTAACGTTATATTGGCCTCAAAGACAGTGTTGGAAAGAGCTATTTGATGCAAAAGAAACTATTTCCTCTTCCATTTCGTCCCACAGTGCGGAGTTTGGAGCTAAGCTCCGTCTTTAGCCTCGGGCTTTGGATTCGAATGTGTATGGAAATGTGGCTTCTGCCACGACGACGCCAATGCATCGCGTTTTGGGGAGGGTTATCACCTGGAGGGACTCACCTGTATCTGGTTGCGCCAAACATCGTAGTGGAGCCAGTTATCCGTGGAGAAGGCGATCGCCAGGAGGGCGGTGGCGATGATCGCACAGATCGTCGCTATGGACAGGGTTACGGCCGAGCAGGGCATTTTGTGGATCAGCTAGGGGAACACCTGGTAGCTCCTGAAGACGTCGGAATATGGTTGGCTATTGGATGGTGGATTTCGCGTCGTCGGTGTTGTAATTCGTGGCTTTCCAAGCGAAAAATCTCCGAAAGGCCAAGCGAGAAGTAAACAACTACAGTTGTTTTCGCTTCGCGTATCTTCTTTTCGGTTCGATTCTCTTCTCTTCTCCCCCCTCCGACGGGTCAGCCAGATTCTTCTGCTTCTGATTCTTCTCCCGACTCGTATTCGTAGTCGTAGTCTTCAAGTGCTGCTGCTGCAGCAACCAGTTTTGAAGTCACAGTAAAAAAAAAAAATAATCTTAGAAACGGGCCAGTGTTACTGGCTAACACACACACAGATGCACAGATACATGCACGGCTACGGATGCAGATACACACGGCCGATACAGATACAGATACACAGATACACGCACGCCCGTCGGAGAATCTGAGAACTGAAGACTCGGATCGGAGAATCGGAGACTTAAAGATCAGAGAGAGAAACTAAGACTGAGACTGAGACTGGAACTCAGAACTGGTGGTGGATAAGAGACGTTGTGCTCGCGACAACGTTCGCTGGCGGACTGAAACTGAAAATCGACGGCCCCTGAGCTCGACTTCAGTTCCAGATTCAGGTAATACCCGTCCGTACCTCCAGTTTTGCAGTCGGCGTCGCTGCCTGGGTTTTCGAGCGCTTCGCAATGCACCCGAAAGAGACGGGGCGAGCCAGGTAGAAACGGGGGGACCGGAGGAGGATCTGCCCGGCGAAACGAGAAAGAGGATCCACTGAAGAAGTCGCCGAGGGAAGCACTCTTTGAAAGCTGGTATGCTTGGGGACTTGCTGTCTTTAGAGAAGTAGCCGGGCTACCCTCTGCCAGGGTATGTTAGTCCAAAACAACAACAGAGCAACTGCATCCAGCAGCCTGTTGATATTTTCTTGTTTTCGCTTGGTGAGCAGCAGGTAGGATGCAGGCAGGGTGACTGGGCGGTGGGCAGTGGGCCGTGGGCTGGAACCTATCGCCAGCCATATCGCCAAGTCATAAGTCTGTCAAAGATACTTTGTTGGCCCACTCGATCGGAAACTATGTAGACTTCGACCCTTCTAAGCCGTTGCCAGCTATAGGAGTTCCAGTCATCCTGCATTCGAGGGCCAATTATCCCGCCAACACATGTGGGAAAACACTGCCTCCCGCCTGGCCAGCCATCTGTGGCCATGAGGTGTTCCATCAGATCGGTAAGCCAATATTTTAATTGGTTCCGTTCGCTGGAACCGTTTGCCAAACCCAAAACACAGCCAGCCATTAGCCACTTGGCCAAGAAACAAGCTGTTTCGGGCCATAAAAAAAAAAAATAAAAATAAAAACAGTAACTGCAATATATAGAAATCCCTAACTATTTTGGATGAGCTAATCCCGCATCCCGCATCCCGCACCACCCACCAGACACCCTGTTTCTGGCAGCAGTGGAAGCTGCAACCTGGGCAGGTAACAACACACACAGATGTATCTTTGTATCTTCATATCTCGGTGTATCTGTGCATCTGTGTATCTGTGTGAGTGGTTCAGTGGCGGCGGCATTGGCATCTCGCTGCGCCGCCGCCGCCGCCGCCTTGTTGTTGTTTTTGTTGATTTTCATCGACTTTAATGCCTTTGTCTATTTTGGGTTTCTGTTTATGGCGTGGGTTTTTCTTTTTTTTCTCAATTGCATTTTTGGGTGCGCTGTCGACTCCGACACCGTCAGCTACACTGCAGTCCAAGAAATCAGAGAAACGTAATATGGTTCAAGGTGATATCTGTAGTGCCTCAGATACTCCTGATATTTGATAGATACTTCCTTTACACAGGACCTTGTATCTCTTTCAAGGTAGTATCTACACTCCAAAGTCTATATCTTCATCTATATCTCCAAGATCTCGAAGACCTCGAAGACCTCCACGACCTCCACGACCTTCTAACTTCCTCCCAACCTATATAGATCCTTTATCTCTGGTCCTGTTGACCTATTCTTGTGACGTCAGCTGTCAGGTGTCATTGGAGATGACGGTCGTGTGTGTGTTTGTGTCGTGGAAATACCAGAATTACCTAAATAACAACAAGAATAGCCATGCACTTATATAGCTATATGTTTGTAATCGGATCGGATTGGCATGTTGGCCGGTTCTCGATCTCAATTGCTGGCCAAAAACAACCGAGCTCGGCTCTTGTCCCGTCTCTTTCGCTGGCCGCAGACCCTCTCTTTCCCTCGGCCGGGCGTTGGTATTTCGTTTTCTTTTCGCATTCCTCAGTGTCGCATTGCGTTTGGTGGGGAAAGGGGAGGGGGGTCTGGGAGGTGGCTACCCGAAAGAAACATTATGTATGCGGGGCCTGGCATTTAATTCACATTTTAGCACAAATTATTAAATATTTGACAATGGCAACGAAAGTGAGAGCGACCAGTGGAAAGCGACCAAAACGCCAGAAGAAACACCGAATAAAGCTATAAGACTTCCGTAGATCGCTGCATACAGAATTGCTAATTTATGCGATTATTGGTAAGGCGATCCGGCGATTCATTTGCGGCAGGGTTTTTGTCATTTTTATAACTATTGCATTGAGCCTGAAAACCCATCGAAACGTGTTCGTCGCAGTGAAAGTAACAGTCGATGTCACCAGGTAACAACAACAGGTGATGACCGCGACGGCCAGAAGCCGAAAACGGCCAAAAGGCGAGGAAAATGGGAAATGAAAATTTCTGAAACTTTCGTTTCCCCCATCACCCCATCAGATAGGCCATGAGAACAGAGTATTCGAAAAATCTAACGTCTACGAGAGCGTTTCGTTTTGAAATTCATTTCATTTCGTTCCTTATTCGGTGTAACAACAAAACGGAAAACAGTTTCAATTTATACGTTTTGAAAAAGTTGAATTACAAATTACTAAGAAAAAGTATTTGGTTTCGATTAGTCTGAAAAAGAATTTGAATTTCCCGCTCAAAGTTTCAAAGGTACGCGCAAAAAGTGTTGGAAAGCGATAAGTTGATCTAAAGTATCGATAGGTAACTAGCAAACAATGCATTTTCTCGGCAAATGTGGCTGAAATACTATTAAAAATAACAGCTAAGAAATCTTAATTGTAAGCTGCAAAAGATTTAAACCTATTTTGATAATTTTTTAATGCGGCTAACCGCCACGTTGTGTATTGTTAGAGACGTGAGCCATAATAAACAGTGTTGTAAAGCCGGTGTGTGACCAAACTCATAAATATCGGAAAAATACCCAATTTAATGAAAAGTATCGATATTTCGATTGTGTTTTCGGCATCCCTAGTCTTATTGTTTTATCAAAAAGTCATAAAGAATATCTGTCAAAAATCGTCCGCTGCGCAGTTGATTTATTCTGTTTTCTGTCTTTTGCCTACTCTTTTGCCTTTGCAGCAAACTTTAATCGTTGAGGTGAGTTCTAGACAAGTGCGAATTAGTAGTAAGTGCTGGAGCGCCATTGCGTTACACGAGAAAAAAAAAAAACCTCAAACACACACAAAGAGGACCACTCATCCACTCACACCAGCACACGGAAACAGCGTGTGCGTGCGTGCATGTGTGTGGTAACTCTACGAAGCTAGCTTTTCACTTTTCCATTTTCCTGACGCCGCTCTCTTCCAGGAAAATCAATCTTTAAACCGAAAATGCCGAACATCATTAAGCTGCAATCTTCCGACGAGGAGATCTTCGACACAGACATCCAGATCGCCAAGTGCTCCGGCACCATCAAGACCATGTTGGAGGACTGCGGCATGGAGGAGGACGAGAACGCCATTGTGCCGTTGCCGAACGTGAACTCGACTATTCTACGCAAGGTTCTGATCTGGGCCCATTACCACAAGGACGACCCCCAGCCGACTGAGGACGATGAGAGCAAGGAGAAGCGCACCGACGACATCATCTCGTGGGACGCCGACTTCCTCAAGGTCGACCAGGGCACACTCTTTGAACTGATCTTGGCGGCCAACTATTTGGACATCAAGGGGCTGCTGGAGCTCACATGCAAGACTGTGGCCAATATGATTAAGGGCAAGACACCGGAGGAGATCCGCAAGACCTTCAACATCAAGAAGGACTTTACGCCCGCCGAGGAGGAGCAGGTGCGCAAGGAGAACGAGTGGTGCGAGGAGAAGTAAACGGCCGGCCGGCCCCAAATCCTATCGTCCGAATCCCCATGACGGAAATTCTGTCAACCAGTGTGAAGAGCAGTTTGACACGATACACACAGACACAAAGCAGACACGACAAGACATGATTCGGAGCGATAAGGATTGGCAGCTGATGCTGGCTCCCTTAGTTGATAGTTACCACTCATTTTCCATTCTATGAACCATAATTTTTTTTTGTTTAAACACGAGCCCATATTCTACTGATGATCTGTCAAGCGGGGTAACACTTTAGTTCATACAAGTATGGAATTTATGGAAAACAGTAGTCTAATCATAAGAATTTGCGATTACTTCACCAAAATAAATATTACTCAACACCATATTTGAGGAAAATGTTAACGTGTTCTTCCCCTGATTACAAAATTGCATGTCATCCGGTTTTTCGGCGCTATTCTAGATTGTTCTAGAAAAGTCATCATTTCACTCGCTTATCAGTTGGCTGATATGAGGATTTTCTATGACGCATTGGAGGCAGTTACCAAGAAGCTGCTTGTTTTATTTTCAATGAAATATAGATCTTGTGGGGGTTTTCAAAGTTTATTTTTTTCCAAGAAACCCTCGTTCTAGTAAAAGTATTCGCGGTTAACAGCACGAAAGGTGCTGTAAAGCCCTTGGTTAGCAGAGCTGTTAAGTTTGGAGCGCCACCTGCCGGCGGATGTCGGAACTATAGTTTTCACTCAAATTTTTTGAGTGGAAAATGTGCGGTGTCTTTGAAGCGCAACAGTTGAAACGGCTTATATGCGATTTTGGAGGTGTTTTTGTGGGTTTTATTCGCCTATTTACTGAGAGGAGTATCCTTAAATTATCCTTTTTCCAGGATTACCCTTCTAGGAGCCTAAATGGCATAGGAAATCTGACTGGAAAGCAAGCCCACCGCGTTGTCCACTTTGCAGGACATCTGTTTCTGTCTCCGGCCGGCTTTGTAGTCACCCATGTCCTGCCAAAGCCAAACAATCGGTGGTGGGGGGCGGTGGGGTAGTTGCTGACTCCATGGCTGATTGTCAACGGAAGCGGAAATGCGGAGCAGCTTTGAGAGTCCTCGGCTTAGATGTCCTGGCCAGACCGGTGGCAGGATTGATCGATGGCCAGAATGGCCCTGGCAGCCATTGAGCGAACAAAGTGGCGAAAGTTTTCAATTTTCCAAGTGATACTGTTAGCTGACTCCTTTCTCCCAGCCGGGGCAGGTGCTTTTAAGGAATAATAGAGCTCGGAGTGAAGCGACGTGTCCCTGAATCTGTGACATTATTTGGATTACTTTTAAAGCACGTCCTGCCGGGCAACAGGACTCTGAGCTGCAGTTTTTGCATCAAAATTTCAATTCGGAATTGTTGTTTTCATGAGTCCTTTGTGTTTTCTTTATTAATATTCTTCGTTTATCAGGATACCCTCTCAGGATCCTCAGGACGGGGTGTTTTGGACCAGACTGGAGGACCAGTCAGACTAAAGACGTCTGAAATTGCTGGGAATTATTTAGAAAATGAAATCAGTTACCATCCGGATAGCATTTTCCACCAGAATAGAGGTACTTGGAGTCCTGTCAATGCTGCAGTCTCGGCTCCTGGCTCATTGTTTCTCGTCTGCCGGCGAATGGGGGGTGGGGGCTGTTTTGTTTGACTCTACGCCCCTGCCCCCCGGGGGGCCTCTCGCCATTTCAATTATAATAACGACGCGGGGAGGAGAGGGGAGCCTCTTGAGCGAAAAGAATTGAAAGAAAGCAAGAAAGGCGAATGCAAATAAAACAGAAGAAAGAAAGAAAGAGTCCTGAGCAGCAAAAGGGTTTTCCTATTGGCTTTCTTGCCTCCCCCGTCCCTGCCAAGGAGTAATTAGTGTGCATTTCCGTTTCCGCCCCCCCTCCTCACCTCACCCGCCTCTTGTGTGCCAGTGTGTGTGTGCAACATTTACTTTTCCACTTCGTTTGCGACAATCAAATGTAACAAAGGAGCGGAAAGAGTAGCACAAAAAATCCATCCAAAGGAGCTCCAGAAGAGTGGCATCTCCTGCCCCCTGCCCCTCGTTGCACTGCACTGACGAAATCGGCCTTGAATTGTTGAAGGATTACTCTTTATTGGAGGACGATTCGCAGGATATTATCTCTCAGTGCCGCTGGAACACCTGCCACTGCTACCTGGCTGGGCCCTTTTATCATCTAAGTCGTGTCCTCCACTGGAACGTGACATTGAATACGTCTGCATCCTGGCTGTTCCGCCGGCTCCTTGTGAATCCCTCCCCAGTCCTCCCTAGGGTCCTGGCCATGCTAATCTCTCTGTAATTAAGACTGTCACTCATTCAGGCATTTGCTTGCCATTCAGTTTGCCCATCTGGGAGGCAGTTCCTCCTCCTTCTTTGAATTGCCTCTAATTGCATGTTGTTGTTTTTTTGCGAAAGCCTTCTTCCGGCAGAGTTCAGGATCAGGTCTATAAATCAGGTGGAAGAATCACAAACTAGAACAGATCGAATTAGCTGGCAATTAGGTTCTCGAGGAGAATTAGGAGACGAGGTCACATCGTAAAGTGTCAACCAATTAAATTTACGATAAACAGATTCACTTTCTTTTGGAACGCTGGTGGGGAATATATCCAGATATCGGGATTGGGCAAGTGCCGGACTAGCCATTAGTCGCTTTATGATGTGCCGCCATAAATTAGCGCGCACACATTGGATCAGTCGGGAGCTGGGACTCGGAGCCACTCGACTCTATTAATATCCGAGTGGAGAAACTCTAGATTTATGGCCTCCTCCTATGGGAATGCGTGGGATGTTAGCGTAGGACTCGGCTATGGCTATGGCTATGGCTATGCGAATGCATAATGTTCACAGTTCACACATTCTTATGTCGGCGTACTGGGATGTACTGTGCACATGTGTGTACTAAGTGTGTACATTCCATCTGGCCACCCCCCCTCCACTCCCCTCCTGGCAAGTGTAAATAATGCAACTTTCGGCTGCCCGCCTCGCCCATCGATCAAAGTCTTAAAAAGGGGGGAGAGGTCTAGGAGTGAAATGAGCTCCAAAGCGTTTTGTTTATGGCTGGCATCGGACTCTATCGTTTGGCCAGAACTGCCCGGATAGACTGAACTCCCCCAAAGAAAGACCAAAAGGCCCTAGCACCTTCCCTGCTTTCCTAGCAGGCACTATTTATATTCCATTTATTGTTATTGTTGGCTCGGTTTTGAATCTTGGGAGCCACTCGAACGGAAGGCATGCTCCGACTCTAAAATACATACATAGTCCGTCATTACGGCTACACTCCGTTTCAGGGCTATAATGCTGGGGGCATCAGGTCGATTACCTCAAGTTTACAAAGAACCTGGACTTGGTAGTATCCACATAGGTGGAGGAAGCTCATCAGATACCTCTTCTGAGGAGGATACCTATGCCTTTGGCCCTACAGTTCCGTCGCTTGGAGTACCTAGTACCTAGTCCAACAGATGCTCCCGGTACTATAAGTTCCTGAACAACATATATGTTCCTGAACAGTCATAAACAGAGCGTGCTGAATGCCAAATGGCGACTGTGCTCCAGTGGCGTCATAAACGCTCCCATCTCCCAGCCCCTCCCCCCTCCACGACTCTTTCGCAATAAACATTTTAGACTTCTAACAAAAAGCGATTCGGGAACTCTAAACTGCAGTGGAGGAAAGCGCTACATGGAATCGTTTTTATGTGGAATATTCAAATCACTTATGGGCAAAGACGAGCACGTTTTTCCAGATTTCGGACATAAAGTAGCCAGGACATATAGAAAATCATGAAAATTATATCTTCAGAGCTTCTCGGGAGCACAAATCGGGTAGTAGAAGTGTGATCTGCAAGGGGAATACCTTTCCGATTTCAGGACTTGGAGGACATTCTTTTTGCATCAAAATCTAGAAATTTTAAATTTTATGGATTTTTCAAAAATTTTCAAAGGGGTACCATCATAAAAAATCATCGAAAATCGATCAAAATTTTGTTTCTTAGATTTTGATGCTGATTTATAGAGATTTTTACGACAAAAACAAAGGTGTAACCTTTTTGAGGATAGCTCTTAAATTACCAAAGATATGGGCTTTGAAAGGGGTCGAAAACCTTGATCCATGGTTTTCCAAGAGAAAATATCCAGATAGTAGAAAATGTGATATTTTCAGGTTTCTCATGATCATATCTCAGCTAATACTAGTCTGATCCAAGAAAGGTATATCTTTCCGATACCAGCACTCCAAGTACTTTCTTTTGGCATGAAAAGCTGGCCACCTAAAATTTTTTAATTTTTTTGAAAATTTTCATCATAAAAAATCATAAAAAAATTTTCAAAATTTAGTTTCTTAAGTTTTGATGCAGATTTATGTAGAATTTTACGACAAAAACAAAGATGTAACCCATTTAGGGATAGCTCTTAAATTACCAAAGATATGGGCTTTGAAAAAGGTATAAAATTTATTTATAAATTTATAAATTTATACTATAAATCCTCGATCCAGGGTTTACCAAGACAGATATATCCTAAAAGTAGAGAAGTGATATATTCGAGGCTAATGATAATATCTCAGCTTATACAAGTCTGATCCAAGAAAGGCATACCTTTCTGATCGCAGCACTCCAGGTACTTACTTTTGGAATAAAAAGCTGGCCACCTAAAATTTGTTCAATTTTTCGAAATTTTTTGTAAAAAAAAACGACACACAATAAATATTTTTTTTTAATTGCACCAAAAAAAAAATTAAAAAAAAAAATTACAACAAAAAAATTCCAACAAAAAAATTACAACAAAAAATATTACAACAAAAATTACAACAAAAAATATTACAACAAAAAAAAATTACAACAAAAAAAATTACAACAAAAAATATTACAACAAAAATTACAACAAAAAAAAATTACAACAAAAAAAATTACAACAAAAAATTACAACAACAATAAATTACAACAACAACAAATTACAACAACAACAAATTACAACAAAAATCAATTACAACAACAACAATCAGTTACAACAAAAAAAAATTACAACAAAAAAAATTACAACAAAAAAAATTACAACAATACAAAATTACAACAACAAATTACAACAACAAAAAATTACAACAACAATCAATTATAACAACAACAAATTACAACAGCAGAATATTACAACTACAGCAAGCAAGCAATAAAACCTAAACGAAAAAAAAACAGAATTTTTCCGATTTTTTGGGCTAGCTTAAGTGCTACTTTTGAGAATCGAGGAGGAGGGCGCTATTTTTTAATAAATTATTTTCTTTTTATTTATTTATTTTTTTTTATTTATTTATTATTTATTTTTATTTTTTAACTGAACTTCCACCAAACTAAAACATTTACGGCCATGTTATGATA